GAACTTAAGTTGTTTTCTACCGATTTTATTGTAATGAATAAAACGAAGCTCTGTTATTGAGAAATATGTATGCTACATTGTATGGCCTTTTTGTACTAAACTCAAATAATTAAAGTCACATTCTGTATTTTTTGTATGCATGACCAGTTTTTGCACAATTTTGTTTGTTTGGGGGCGTGGGGTAGTACTACTATATTATGGCATACATTCTAAAAAAGGAGACGACAATTATATATTTTTATTAATTAAATAAAGAAATAAATAAAATAAGCATAAACATAGACATTACTGTAAGGATGATTTGTTTTGATTTTTTTTTTTGCTTTTTCTTTTTTTACCATGTGAGTGAAATGTTTTTTCAAACACGAGAATCAACATAAAACACAACAACAATAAACAAATAATGAAGTATCATGTATATAGCATTATTATATATAGTAGTTGTGGTAGTAGTATTCATCAATGTATATGATGTATATAGGCTGGAGAAATATACTCTAAAAAATAATAATAAAAATATATATATTAACTAGAAAAAAATAATACATTTACATAAGAATGATATAATAAATTTTGTTGTATTTTTATTATTGTATAAAAATGTAGTTTTTTGCGTTTAAATTAAATAATAATAAAAAAAAACGCATAGATTCATATTCATTTGTATATGGAACAAACAAACCAAATACAGATTCTAAATGCAAAATTAATTAAGAGAATTAAAACTAAACAATTAGTTTTGAACAATTAGACAATTAGTTTAGTTGTAAAAAATAAAACATAAGAAACTCTGTGGGTGTGTGTGTGTGCGCTTGCTGCTTTATTTAAAATTAGTATGGCTGGCTTTAGGTCAAATGTATTATTTTTGAAATCCAAAAATAAAAAATTATATAAAAAAGGAACTCAGATTTATAACGGGTATGGCTGGCTGGTATTTTTTTACAGTAGTATTGAATAAAAGGAATAACAACAAAAACTAGTTTTTATTTAGAAATATTTCGAATATTTATTTATTGATACTATAATGATATTGTTAATATGAAGAAGAAAGTTTGTAATTTGAAGGAATTACGCTTTACATTTGTCTTGAATTAAGAGAAAAAAAGTTTGACAACTTTGTCTGGAGTTCTAAAAAGAATGCCAATTATAACAATTTTTTTTAAATTCCTCAAATAGATTCGTAAATGCAAATGTTATAGAAAACATTTTTGATTTTCTTTTTCTGTTACCATTACAGCTGAATACATTTACAACAACAAACTGAAAACATTGTTTAATACTTTTTTTGTTTGTTTGCCAGGATTTGTTGTAGCAGAACCCAGCTGTATTGTCATTTACAAATCACAGCAAGCCACCATATGTAAATATAGGAAAGAAATATATAGTTTAAGATATAGATAGATTCCAACAAATACAATTAAAAAAACTTTAATTATTTGTATGATTTACATGTGTTGTCCGTCCATGAAGATAAATTTTTTTTAAGGAAAGATGACATCCTACCTAAACTGTTTAATTTGTTTTGTTCCAATACAAAAAAAAACATGGACTGTCTTTCAGAGCACCGACAAACAACGAGACAACATTGACTACTGTGTCGTGTGAATACTTGTATGAAGAATTATGCATGATTTCAATAAAACATGTTGATGGTTGTATTTGTGCCACAAATCTCATGCAAAAGAAAAAAGTAAACAAAATTGAGCCCCAAAATATGTTTGAACAATAAGTAAAAAAGCGAAATGTAATCATTATTATGATTTATAATGAACAACATTTGAAACATAGTTAACTAAAAGTATTCATGTTTGCAGGTCTGTTGTCTATACAACAACCATTCAACAAAATTCAACCTCTTCCTCCGCTCGCAGCAATCTAATTGATTAATTTGTGCGCTCGGTGTTCTACTTTTTGTCCCTACACTAAACTCTGTTGCTGTTGTTGTTATCATCATTTTTGTCGGGCGGTCGTTCGGAAATTGTTACAGTCAGTCTCAGCTGTTTTGGAACCAAAACCAAAAAAAAAAAAAATGATATTTTTCGCATTTTGTTTTATAATGTGAAATACAATGTGCTGCTGGGTGTTTTGGTGGTGGAGTTGTATATAAAAAAGTACATTCGACGTCGCTGCTTTTTGGAAAAATACAAAAAAGATTTTTTTTTTTTGTTTTACGAGACAGAATTTGTATAATTTTGTGTGTTATGACAATTGTTTTGGTTTTTTTCAACTCGTACCGGTACCTATTACATTCTTAACTTAGTTATTTTTATATTATCTTGTTTTTATATAAATTTCTTTTTTGTTTTGTTTTAGTTTAGTTGTTTTTGTTTCTTAATTTGTTGTATTTTGTTTTATAAGAATTTTTATGCATATATAAAATTTGTTTATATTTGTTTTGGTTTTTTATTTAAATTATTTTTGTTTTTTTCCATTTTTTTAGAAATTAAAGTCCTTAAATACGAAACTTTTGTTATTTTTGTTTTGGTTTTTTTTTTTATAAAGTTGTAGTGTATGATTCATTATTATAATTAAATATTATTAATAAATGATTTTGGTTTTTCTTTCTTTTTTTGTAAGACTTATTAAATTAATTATTCATTGTGGTTTCATGTTGTTGTTTGACGTGGATGTTCTGGTTATTTTTGTGTGTTTTTGCCTTTGTTATATTCTAGGATGTTTTTACTCATTTGTTGTTATCATTAATATTTTTTATTTTTTTATTTTAAATAAACTTGCTGTGGTTTTGTAAATGCTTTATTATTTTTATTTCAAACTTCTTTCTTCCTTAGAATTTTGGTTCTGTGGTGTGTGTGTATGTGTAAATGAAACTCCCTAAAGTAGAAACTTTTAAATAATATATAAATATAAGTTTTTTCTGTTACATCAAAACAAATTATACGCCACACATTAAACTACATACAGATGAAAAAGAGTGTGCTTACAAAGAGACCTTTTAGATTCTTAAATGTCTACCGAGCCGACTTACAGTTGTCGTTTGAACCTTACAAAGACTTTAAAAACAATGCAAATCCAAAGAAAAAATAATTTAAAGAACCCTGCCTTCATAAGCTATCAAAGAATCGAACATAAAATTTCTTTCGCAAGTCCAAACCGATTTTTGTACGAAATCCTGACATTTGATGAATGTTCTGTTCCAAAACCTATAAGAATTTTCTATCAACAGAATTTATTTTTGATCTTCACTTTATAGTTTGGAAAGGTGGTAAACTTTTTGAGTTCGAAACAGATGCAAATGCACAACATTGGTGCTGTTATTATTGCTACAGGTTGGCTGGCTGCTGCCCTGAGAGCAATTAAATAGATCAAAACAAAAAAATATTTTTGGTGTGAAAATGAAGGATGGAGTTGCTCTGTATTTAATCTCCTACAAATGGAATTCTAAATTTGTCATAAAAATCGTTTTCATTGAAGCCATCTGGAAGCCTTTATGAACAAAACAAATGGTACAATTTGTTATTCCAATTCAGCTCTCCATTTCACTTACAATCCACCAGAAAACATTGGAAAATGAAGAATAATATTTGTCACGAAGAAGAAGACGTTGGTTATTGTGATTCCATAGCAGTTTAACAACGACAAAAGGCGGTATTACCTCTTAATTTCAGCACTAAAAGAAAAGTGTGGACCAATTGCTTTATCAATCAATAGCCGTTTGTTAAAAGCAAACATAATTTACAGAAGGACGACTAATTCTTTAATTCAGTCAATTTCCTTTTTTTATGCTTTTTATGCTTATGTTGTTCGTTTATGTGTGGTGCATTATTTCTTTCATCCTCGATTTTAAAAAAAAACTATCATTTATTCCCTCTTCTTTTTCTCTTTTCCTTCTTATCATTATCATAAATATAAATTATATACGATGACAATGATTTTTCTTTTTTCGATCGGTTTAATCTGGTTAAATGTTGTTTGGTTTTGTAATTTAAAGAATTTTAATAATAGGATATATTTTGTTTGTGTGTATGTTTTCGTGTCGCATATGTTGTAATGTTGTAGTTTTACTTTTGGTTTAAGGTAAAGAGTTTGTTTGTTTGTTGTGTATATAAATTAATGTGCGTGTAAATTGCGCGCGTGTTATTCTCATGTTTTGTTTTGCTTTGTTTAATAAAAAATACGAAAAAAAAACATTTTATATGCAAGAATAAATTGTTTGAGGATATTGAGATTTGTTTTTTGCCAAATTATTATTTTTTCTTGGCAAATTGGTATTCTAAAAACAAAACAAAAAACGAATAGAGACGAAAAACATGGTTCTTACTTAATAGTAGTAGTAATAGTATAGAAAAAAGAAAAGCTTACGGTGGACTGAATGAAATTACAAAGTTTGCGCTAAATTGTAGATTTTGTTATTGTAATTTGTATTGAATATATCTTACAAATACACAAAAGCAAACATTTATTGACGGTTATAACGATAATGAAATTATCGGGTGACAGACTATGGATAGTATTATTATTAAGCAAATAATTAATCCTTAGCATTTTTATTTACCCCTATTTAAATATATGTGGAGATTATAATTTAATACCCGTTATAACCTAAATATGATTTGCAAGACATACTCAAGACACAAGACTAGTAGCTTCTTCTTTTCATTGTTCCTTCTCCTCCTTCCTTTCCAATAGAAAATCTAATTTTGGATTATATGACCTTTTAGTTTGGTTTTGGTTTTTGTTGTATCCTCAGAACTAACTTTACCCATAGATGCGAACCACCACGGCATTTGCTGGTTGGTTTTGTGTAGTATTTGTTTTTTGCTGACTTCTTCTGCTTCTTGCTGCTGATGTTGTTGTTTGTTTTCTTCTTCTTTTGCAATTTATTTTATTAAACTATAATTAATATATAGTACTAAACATTATCTTTGTTGTAGGCTGTTGTAGTTGTTTGTTGTTGATTTCATTTTGTTGTGATTTGTTGTTGTTGTTTTGACTTAAAACATAATGTGTTGTTTTGCTGTTTGTTGTCGTTATGGTTTATGTTTTGTTGCTATTACTGTTGTTGTTTAGTTCCACACACGCAAGAATGAATCCCATGAGCCCGTTGCTACCGCCATACCATTTTCGGTCACACCCAGACATGAGACCCGATTATCGTGACCAGCCAATATACCGGAACGTTCGGCTTTCATTGTGTCCCAAACATTGCAATTGAAGTCATCATAGCCAGCTAACAGTAAACGACCACTTTTTGAGAATGCCACCGATGTAATACCGCAGATGATATTGTCGTGCGAGTACATGGCCAATTCTTGATCGGCACGTATATCGAACAGGCGACAGGTGGCATCGTCTGAACCTGTTGCAAATGCCTGGCCATTGGGGAAGAATGTCACGGCATTTATATCGGATTCATGGCCAGGGAATGTCTGCTTGCACACGCCCTCTCTAATGTCCCACAGTTTAGCGGAGGCATCACAGGCACCCGAGACGAATGTTTGACAGCCGGGTGCTAATGACAGAGCCATTACATCACCTGTATGGCCCAAGAATGATGTTACTTGCTGGCCGGTTTCAATGTCCCACAAACCACATGTCATATCGCCCGAGCTGGTTACAATTTGATTATCGTCTAGGAAACGGCAGCAGGACAAGTAGCCACCGTGGCCGGGCAATTCACGGGACACACGTACATTTCCCTCACGGGTTTTTAAGTTGTAAATTGAACACATATTGTCTAGACCGCCACAGGCTACATAACTGCCGGAAGGCGCGTAGGCGCACGTCATTACCCATGACGATCGTAGTGGTATAGCATGGACCTTATTTGTAGTGTGAGAGTCCCAGACAATCAGTTTACCATCCTGGGAGGCAGATACCAAGTTGCGTGAGTCATTGCCCCAGTGCATGGCGTAGATTTTTGCCAAATGTCCTCGCAACGTGCGCCTTGTTCGCATCTGTATGCGACCTATGGGCTCCAAGGACGCAGCTGCCTGCACTAAGCTGGTGTCGCAGGCAGCTTTCCGGGCATCGCGTATGGCATTCTTAAGGGATTCAGCTTCTTGTCTCAAACTATCCAACTCATTCATTTTCGTAGCTTTCTATATATATGATGTGTGTGTGTGTGCGTAAGTGTGCTTGTGTGTGCGTAGACTATTTGCAAGTTTCCCTGTGCAATGGGGGTGTTGTATAAAAAAATACGGCCGACTGCTGCTGCTGTTGGGGTTCGGCAGCTGCTGCTGGTGGTACTTGTGGTAAGTTGCAACTTTTATTTTTCCAAGTCCTAATGTCCGAATGCAAAATAATTACTATCTTGCACTACTACTGGAGGAGGTTCTGCTGCTGCTTCTCTTTCTTGTGTTGATGATAATGGTGAAAATCTCTATATCTTTAAAGGTGTAGGTTCGAATAAGGCCGCCGCAACATTGTGAGATTGAGTTGAATATGGTGATGATGATGACGGCGACGACAACGATGATGAAGAACACAAACGGGCAGGCGGCGACGGCAGGGGTGGCAAATGAGAAAATTAAAAAAATACGAAAAGGTGCGGTGTTAGTTCCAATAAATTATCTTGACAATTTCGTTACTAGGAACGACGAAAGCTCAATTCCTTGTACATATGTGTTACAACCAACCAACTCACCTATGTTTTTGGATTTCACTACACTGCTGCTGATGATTTCCGTCTCGGCGATGACAAACAATCCAAATCCAGCCGACAAATTCGCAACTTCTTGATAATTTCCCGAATTTATTTTTTTATATTAAATTGCCTGGGAGTACTCTCGTATCGTTTTTCTCCTGTTGAAAAAAAACTGCTGTATAAATGATTCTCCTTTTTTTCTTGTGCTTCGTTCAAAGTTGACGTCCGCTCCACCACTTCTCCACACACAATTTTTTTTCTTCTCTTTACTTTTGCCGTTTTGTATGTATATGTATATTTTTTTCTAATGTCTTCCTCCGCCGTTCGAGTTCGATCGTACGTACACTGCCTTTTTCTGTTTCAATAGTACAAGGGGTGAAATCTATTCATTTCTGTTTCATTTGTTTCTTTTTTTCGTTCTACTCTTCAAACACAAAAAAACTGAATAAAACCAAACTACAATGGTATGCAAATTCCGTAATAATTTCGGTAGGATTTTCGCAAATGCCCAACAAACAAAATATGGGTGCTGTTCTTTTTAGTATTTCTTATTAATTTTGGTCACATACGCGATATGATATTCTCTCACTAACTTCGATTTTCTTCACTTTGGGTTTTTTGGTACACCAAAATTGCAATTTGCACCACCGCGAACGAACGAAGGAAGGAACGAACGAGCGAACAAACGACACAGGGGGAAAACTTGATTAATAATACAACGAAAAAACTGAGCGAGACGGAGAGAGTGTATCGACACAATACAACTTGACGACGAGTACGACGATGAAATGTCTGTCTGTCTGCCAGCCTGCCTTTATGCATACATACAGTGGTTGTTTTCACACCAAGCACAGAACCAAATCACATTCAGTTTTGACTCACTCTTGGAAAATGAAATGGAAAATCATCGACTGCTGGAGAGACACTCTGAATTACACTCGCTCTCATTTTTGTTGTTTCTATTATTCTCACTAACTACGACGACGACACCAAGAGAAGGCAGGCACTAGTAAAGAGAAGAACCAGAAGTAGGTGGGGGTGGAGGGGGGTTTTCTTATTAATGTAGTTAATTTTTTCACATCTATATGTATGAAGAATTTTTCCGACATCGCGTATTCATAATTCACACCTTACAACTTTACACAGTATTTCACACACACATACACTTACGTTTTGTGCTTAATACATCACAAAATTTGTGCTATTTGTTATTTTTACTTATTTATTTCAGTTTATTTTCATGTAAAATATTCATTACAAGCTAAAAAAATTATTTTTTTCTCTGCTAACAAATTATCCTCCACCACAATAATAAGCGACACTTTTGACAGTTCTACAGGCCAACACCTATATCAGGAATATGTAAGTCGACTTTGGACTAATCGATTGAATCGACTTCAATAACATTCGACCATCGGTAATCGATTATCAATGTCAGAGTGAAATTGCCATCATGATGAATGCAATATGAAAATATAGGATACATTTGGCGACCAATATACATTAAATACTAGTTTGTGAAAGATATTGTATATTTTTTAATATTTAAGGTTAAAAAAAATGTCAATCAAAACAAACATTTTGGCAGGACTGTTATCGCCTAAAAATCGATAAACAACTAAAATGCGATTATTCACCCCAACCATGTAGCCCTAATGAATATTTTCATTTAACGAAACTTAACGAAACATAATACATACCTAAATTGGAAAGCGACAGCGTATGACATGTTAACGATAATCTTAAATAGCGCTCAACGTACAAATGTACAGAAGATATCGGATATAAGAAACTCAAAAAAGACGGAGATTTCTTTCTTATATGCGTTTTTTTTCTTATATGGAATTATCGGATATAAGAAACTATGAGCTCGGTGTTTTTGATCATTCAGCAAGTTTTATTATGGATGATAAACATGAACTGTCACACGATCCAATCTAACCAAATTCTCTGTAAATTGTAAATTAATACCGAGATTCGAGAAAAAAACACTCGATCAATATGTCAATTCTATAGTGTACTGATGCTACATGGAAAAACGCGTAAAGCGCTTTTTTATCGATTACTGACTGTCCAACAACCATAAATATTTTTGTGGTTGCCTGATGAATGACAAACATGTAAGGCCACACTATCAAACAAGCAAAATTTGGGCAAGAGTGCCATTCAAAAATGCTAGTGTGTACACCGCATGAGGCCACACTATCAAACAAACAAAATTTGGGTAAGAGTGCCATTCAAAAATGCTAGTGTGTACACCGCGTTATGTTTGTCTTTCATCAGGCAACCACAAAAATATTCATAATTATTGGGCATTCAGTAGTCGATAAAAAAAGCGCTTTACGCGTTTTTCCATGTCGCATCAGTGCATATAAAACATTAAAAAAACCCATCCATCGTCTTTTGCGTTTTTTTTTTCATATCGCATCAATGTGAATAAAAAATTTTACTATTACATTTTTCCAAAACCTAAAAGAATATGCCATTATTTGAAATAGTATTATTTTCCTTATATACATATGAAAAGTTTTACCACTTTTTGAGTACTAGAACATGTGAACGTCAGTTTATAAAGAAATGGCAGAGCCAAACATGATTTTGATTTTCCCGTTCCCGTACGGCAAGGATCTACTAATTTTTTACTATTTTTTCGATATCATAAAGGAAAATTTGTTATCGTAGTAAAAAGTAGATTCTTGAAGTACGGGAATAGACCAAATGTAAACATAACATGACATACCTGAAGTCCACAATTAGCAGACACAATCCAATTAGACGATATTAATTTATATTTTTAGTACTTATATTTTTATAGTAATATTTTTTTTACATTAACTGTTGTAGGGCTAAGCAGAATGTTAGCGTTGAGCGTTTTTTTGTTAAAATATATTTAACTCCAAAGCGTAGCGCACATCAACTTGAAGTGTTAGTGTTATCGTTTCCTTGTGGTTGTTGTATTTTCGATAACACATAACGCGACGGATGGCTCAACGCCAAGATCTATTAATAAGGTCACCAAGATAGCAATCGAAATCGGAAAACAGCTGTTTTTTCTCAAGTCTAATGTCAAAAATTTCGACTTTGTTTACGTTTTCATAATGGAAGTCAATTCACAATAATGCATTTTGACAGCAAACTTGAGAGGTATCGATAATCAGCTGGTCTCCCTTGGTGACCTTATTTATAGGCCATGTTACGCACTTCGACAGTTAAACAAGTCCATCAGCTGCTCCTTGGCATAATGAATAGGTAGTCCATTTAGCGCAGCTGATGTCTTGATTAACTGTCAAAGTGGGTAATTTCTACTTGAATTCGATGTGCAGTGTTGCCAACCATTTGAAACATTATATGGAAAAATTTGACAGATAATCGAGACAAAAACAAAGGTATTTGTTTTGATACATCACCTTATTATTGCATCATGAGCTGCTCTAATTACCTATTTATTGTGCCCTGGTTGAACTTTAGCAAAATGATGACCGTTAAATTATTTGAGTGTGCTATTTTGCAAAACTAATCATGCCAGACATGTTTAGCGGCGACAATTAATGCATTTTTTGAACATTCTTAATATTTTTTTTTCAAACATAACATGTTTTAGTTTTTTCTTTGTCCTAGCCTAATCATTTTTGTCCAAAATCGAAAATACCACAGAATTGTAAATAAAATGCCATGATTTTACGTATGTATATATGTATTTACATTTTTAACTTTATTTAAAGTAAAAAATCGTTTCGTTTTATTTGTATTCTTTGTTTTGCTTAAACAATCATTCATGAGAGCCGGTCAATAGTTTAAAACGTAATATCCAAAAATAATATATACCTATATATATCTGTATAAGTGTATGTTTCAATGTATCAAAAACAGTCGGTTGTCGCAAACGCTTCACAATAAGAAATCACACAGAAACGGAATAATTATTCTCGGAATAAATTTGATACGGATTTTCTGAAATAGAGATGTACAAGAAAGAGGAAGATTATTAACAGACCAAGAAATACATATTTAATAAAAAAGTAGTGGGTATAATATACATAGATCTCTCTTATATGGGAAGAAAGATTAACGAAATAACGTACAAAACATAAAAAATTTTGACCAATTGTTGGAAGAAGAAATTCGTGAAGGAAGTGTAAATCTTTCCATTGTTAGAACACGATTAATTATTGTGTATTATGTATTTGCAATATGATATATTCCAATATTTGAGATTGTGTGCATTGCTGTTGAAAAATCTTTAATATTGAAATTTGAAAATGAATACAAAAAAAATATATATATATATTTACCGCCAATTTGCTTTAGTATGATTGTAAATTATAAGTTTGTGTTTATAAATAAGTGAGAGCTATGTTTTATTTATTTTATTTGTGTGTAAATATAGTTTTGTTTTTGTTTTTTTTTTATGAAAAATCATCATTATATGACGAACCAGTATTATAGTTGGACATTTTCGGCAAATTAACAACATCACGTCGAAATGAAGATAAATTATGAATGAATCTGTAAAAAAATCGAAAAAAAAAATATTTTGTATTATTCATAATCCATAATTCATGTGTAGAAATGTGTGTCTTACTTTTCCTTATTTTTACTGGAAACATTGCGTTCAATTCCATTCATTAAATCCTCAAAACATTGAGCCATAATTTGTTGTTTTTCTATTGGTTGTGCGCGTAAAATATTCTCTTTTAGAGTTCTAGAAAAAAACAACAACAATAGATATATAAAAACAAATATATGTATATATAAACATTTATGCTTTTGAAAATGTTCAACTAACCGGAAATAATCTTCATACAATAATATTAGTACCAACAATGGTCTGGACATGGACCATTGATTTTTACAATCTTCAGCCATGACATTATTCATTAGAGTTGACATCATATTTTGCAATATCTCAGAATTCATTTTAACAACCTAGAAAGAAAAAGGAACAATTTTATAAAAAAAAACGATGTTAGTGGTCTTAATATTTTTAACAGCTTACCTCTAAAAATCGTGCATTCTCAGGTGTTAGATTCCGTAATTTTTTATTTGGGAATGTAGACACTAAAAAATATTACAAAAACAAATATTGATACGATTTTTTAAATGTTTAATAATAAAATAATATTAAATGTTGAATATCATTAAATACAAATATAAATATATATAGCAAATATTTTGATCACATTACTCACATCATATATCGTCACTGTACTTACTTTTCAATTGTAATTGTTTAAATATATACGATATAATGCTATCCAAAATGGAACAACAGGTTATATAGATAGTTGAATCTATGTGGAATATATACAAAAATCAAAAAAAAATATATATATATATTAAAAAATTATTAATATTCAATATAGATTAATATTTAATATCTATTTACAATTGATATTTTTTTCTTGCTAAAAACTCACCCAAAGCCGTAAAACCTTTAGATAAGCTTTCTAGAATGTAAACAAATGCACCAGGTTCCAAACCTGCCAAAAAACTAATCTGTTCTGGAGATAAACAATTCAATAAATTGAAATAGGATGATGCCAATTTTGGGTATTCCTGAAATAAATAAAAAAACATCAAAAATGTCAAAAATCAATTATCACACAATTATCTTATCTTAGCTTATTTTGTTGTTGTAAAACTTACCAACAAATCATTTTGTTGTATAGACATTATCATTTTTGCTACGATATTTAAAACATTATCCAATGTATCATCACCATAGAGCTTGAATACACCAAAGTTAACATAATTGCCACCCAAGGCATTTTTCAATATTGTAAAGCATACGGAAATGCCTTTCAAACGCATTGGATATTGTTGATCGCGTGGCACATCTAAATGCAGTATACGATTACCGTATATACAGATGAGTTTTGAAGCCTCACGGAATAATAAAATGCCAATCGGACTGGAGACATTGCCCTGCAAACGCTGCGTGCGACAGTGAACCAATTCGGCAAATAATTTAAGGACAGGTGTTGTAACAGCTGGATCGTGTGCCCATAGTTCAACGGCACGTATTAACATGGGCAAATAATCGGAATAATATCTGATGATAGAAAAAACATAATTAAAATTTGTACATATTTCGAATAATAATTGGAATTTAGAATTTACTTACAGCCATTCGAATAGCATTGTGTAAGGAACTCGAGAAGTTAATGGCTGGGCCAGACCACGTAGATCACGAGCCAAGCCTATTATAGCCTTTTTGGCTTCTTCATTGGGAAAACTATTGGCATCCATTAAAACGGGACCAAGGGATTCAAATTGGTCTGAAAATGGGAAACAAATATTATTTGGGACCAATAAAAAATATCGACAGCAAAAATAGGCATGTATATTCCTTAACCAGTATCAATTTTGAGCGTGTGAATTTTTATCCGATATTTAGCACAAAAAGGTAAGAAGCCGAATGCATCGCAATGTCGTAAATCATAACAAGATCAACCTCTGGTAATGGTTACAAGAGGATGGAAATGCAGAAAATACGCAAAATGATTTTGTGTTCTGAACGGGTTGTGTTAAATTGTCAAAAATTTCATAAAAGATCCGTAACGAATTTCCCGTGACAAGATAAGATATATCCGAGACAAGATATCTCCTTTTTCAAAAATTCAAAACTAACGGATGACACTGAGAATATAACCCTAAAGGAAATGTGGGGAGCTTTATCGCTTTTGTCTACTATTGTGGCGACATGTATCCATATTTTCAACAACTTGTCTACATTGAATTAATTATTTTGGTAAAGAAAAAATATAAACACAAGAAATTATAAAAGTGAATATGTGACCTTGTGTCTATATTTGCAAACTATTGACTTACTACTAACCGTGTCCACATATGCGACGCTATGTCTATATCGACAAACTACTGACTACGTCACTAGTTCATTCTCAATGACATGTTAAATGTCAATAGAAAAATGCATTGTGTTGGGTATAGTCGGACAATAGTATTGGTGACAATGTCAATAGTGATTTACTGTAGACATTTCCTACAGGGAATGTATACGTAGGATTTTACAATCGCTTATTTGCTATATCAGACTTCATATTGTGTAAAAATCATCTCAAACACACTCAGAATGGGAGGCTGTAGAAGCTCCTCTATCGCATATAAGATGTGAGTAAATTGAAAACGCATTTTCTCCAAATTGATTTGATTGGTTTATGCAATGTGTGGGCGCTATCTTTTTCGCACTTTTTTCGTATTTACTATGTATAAAATGGAAACCAATACTTACTAGTTAAAGGATTTAAAAAACTATAGAAACGTTCTTCATCTTCACCCAAGTCAAACATTAAAAGACGCCCCAGTGATGTATAGAACATGGTACGGCAGCGCATTTCGGTTAATGATGAATTTGTACCCAAAAATGGAAAATGCTCACTCTGGAAAAACACAAACAAATTAATATTTTTGATAGCATGTAAACATATAAACATATAATCAGAAAAAAAAAAACATATCGCTTCCCGTGCTGCTTACCGTATGGTGTGTCAGCATAAATTGAACTTCTTCCAATTTAGCCAATTTCCGCACTGAATTAAAATGCACCGATAAATCTGATAACAACATTAGGGTTTTTGTTATAATTTGCTCTGAATGGCCCCAAAACTTTAGATTTGTTATACTAAAAAACAAGGTAAATTAAAATTTGTTAGCAACACTAAAATACATATATATATATATATATATGTGTGCTTACATTTTACGATTAATAAAACTCAGCAACATTTGTTCATCGCTTATACCGAACACATCATTCAAACGTTTATACACGTTCGGCTTTTGTGTCTGTTCACTGATATGCATTTTTCGTACTTGTTCCAAAAAGCTCAATATGGCCAATTCTAATTTTTCACAGCCTGCTTGCGGTAGTCGGGCATCGGTTAATCTCATCAATTGAAATACCCGTATAACCAATTCGGCATCCATTGTATCGTGATCATCATTTGAGTTCACTGTCAATCGGCCGACAATGGCCGAACCGATAATATACACTAACCACGTTAGCTGCAATTCGTGTATGGTAACATTGACGGGATCGGCATTTGGTGTCTGCAGTAGACTTTCATATTCACTGGCTTTTTGATCGAAATGTCGCACCAACAACGAACATGTTTTGTCATATTCACAGCGTTCAATAACCGATAATTGTTCCAGCTGTTGCAACACCATACACAAATCATCCAATGGATCATCCATGTGATCGTTGACAATGGCAGGAACGGCATTTAAACGTGATTCAACATAGGCTTTGGTAACTTCGGGTGTATAAGTGCCCAGCAAATGTGGTTCGGGTGATTTAACATATGGCACGGATGCAACCATTCTTTGCCATAGTGTAAGTAAATAATGTACACTATTCGGGGCAAATTGCCACATCTAAATGATCGATTCTTAGAATTCAGTTTTACTACATAATTACCGAATGCGAACACTTACCTGTAATGATTCAACTGTAAATTTTGCTATTAAAGCCAAAGCTTCAGGATAACAAGGCACAGCAATCAGTTCACCCAACTGATAATTCGATTTCAGGCGAGCCAATAGACGACAAAATTCATGATAGTTATCTGGATCACGTAGTCCCTATTGCAAATAAGAACGTGAGAATTTCCTAACTAGCGAAAATGATGTTACTACTTACATGTAAATTAACCAAAATATTTTTAACACCTTCAACCAGATGTGTAAGAAATTTAGTACGTTCTGAATTATTGAAAAGAGAACGTCTTACAGATGTCATCTAAAAAAATAAAACATTTAAGGCAAATAAATAAACAATGTATCGCAAAATAGCTGTATTGAATATCTATTATATAATGGATTTTGTTTTTATATTTCAATCGGTTAGGCATTTTTCATTTGTTTTCAATGGTAAGGGAAAAATGTAAATTAGATTCGAAATTAATGGCGAAGCTCGTGAAATGAGCATATTTGAATAAATAAAAACTCATAAATGTGTCCTTGTATGGATGGTGTTGTTGTTGTATATGAATATATATTCCTGTTTAAATTCCATCTGGTTCTGTCTCCAAATTAAAAAATGCAGCTACTTCGACTTGCTGCAACCACAGATCTTCAGGAGTAAGATGAGTAGATTTGGCTGGGCAATTGAATAAGTACAGTGTGGTATGAGTGACCGTAACACATGCTGGGCAGACATCCTGCACCTAGTCAATCTGTGCCCAATACCAATTGAGACGACTGCACCATCCAGAACGTAACTGGACCAAAACTACTCTGCTTTGGGCAGCTGACGTTCTTCAGCTGCTATGGGTGGGTAACCGTTGCGGCTACTGCTATTCAGATAGGCAACTTGAACCTCTCTCTCTAGATCATGCAGATCCTTCTTGACACGCCTGGGTGGGGGTATCCTATCCACCATATAATGGTTGGGATGATTGTCTCTGAAGCACTCATCAGGTACTGCAACGAAAGCATATTGCTATGCTGATCCACTGGTGTCATGAGGAGGCACGCTGTCGCAGTCCTCAGGAAGGCATTCTGACAGGTCTGAATAATTCTCCATTGCGTATCACTAGAGTTCGCAGACCACACTGAAACTGCATAGCTTGCCACAGACCGACCTATCGCCTTGTAAGAGGTCAACAATGTTTCCTTCAAGCTTGTATCTCTCTTGAGATCTTTCCTTACGTGCCATGTCATTACGAAGCCTCTCCATATGGCTATGACAGGAATTTATACATCGACAACGTTTGGTTGTATCGACACGTATAGAGGCACGATATTCGCCTCCAATGATCATAATTTATTAATTTTCATTTCATTTAACTCACCTGTACTAAACATGACAGCGAATAACTTGCCAAACCATTTGGTAATATTTGATACAAATCAAAAAACAATTTCAATGTATTTGGATCCAAAAATGCTGGACGCCATGATGATGGGATTTGTACACTATTCATATCATCTGAAGATTCGTCCATCGAACTACCAATAAAATCAAAACTCAAGCAGTTCTTCGTTAAACGCAAGACATGAGATATAAGGCTGAAACAACAAAAAAGAAAATACAGAGAAATAGATTCAGATTTCCTCTCGAAAATATAACAACAACCTACTTAACATAAGCCTGTTGGGATTCATCCATAAAATTGATTGTTTTGCTATTATCACGGGCAGTGACCAATAGATTGCATGATAACAAAAATATATCATACAATTGTTGATCACGGAACGATGTGGCAATTTTACGACTGGTTGAAAATGTTATGTGGGCATCCACTTCCACAATGGAGTTCATTTCCAAAACAAGTTGTGATAAAATTTGCACACCAAATGTACAATGATCGACAGATCCCTAGAAAATAATATGTAACAAGTAAAACCAAAATATATTTTATTTATATATGTACTATAACAACAATTACCTGTAAAAATGTTTTCACATCTTCCAACAAGTTTTGGAACACCAACTCGTTCTTATAGGTATCAAACCAGCCATATTTTGTTATTTTTGCCAATAGCGTGACCAACGACTGTACCACAAAATGTTGCAGGTTCGGTCTATTTGCCAAATAATTCAAAACATAACTCCTACAAATGAAACAGAAAGAAGTGTCGTAAAGGAAAGACTGCCTATTTCATTGTCAGACACTCATTCATACCTTATGTCAATGCGCTGTTCCAAATTGAGACCCTGTATAAGCTTTGTTAGTGTTGTTGCCGCCAACAGCTGGGCATAGCTGGAATCTGCACGATCCAACAACATTTGGCATTTGGGCAATGCATCTTGACTGCTCACAAACTGTACAAGGGTCTTTTCTGCATTGGAACGCAGCACAGAATCCGTGGCTTCATACAACTGTTTGCACAGAATTTCTAACTGTTGGATTTCCTAGGAAGACACAAGACCAAAAAAAGAGAATCATAAGCCCAAATTACAGCACAACGAAAGTGTATATTTTGCACCATCTCCCAAATGCATCATAACCTCTAAAGCAAAACAGAGAACCGGTGTTGCATATATATTATCCGCCGTCCATTCGATATTTATGTAAATGTAATCGACGATGTATGTTTACATTTCAATTTATTTATGTTTGCACACACAACGCATTCATTTTAATTTCAAAATAACAACAGATTTCAATATTTTATTTTTTGTGTGTGCAATTATTATTTTTATTATAGCCTACCATTTCGATTTGTATTTCTGTTGTTTCTTCTTCTGTTTTTGTATCGTTGCAAAAATATTTGCTACAATTATTGAGGCTCGACTCGATTCAATGGGTATAGGTTTTCGCGTATCTTGATACACAAGGCGGACTATAAAGTGTATGTATCCAAATTGTAACTCTGTTAATTATTTTTTGTTTTGAAATTGTTTATTTTTGTATTAAATTTAATTTATCAAAAAAAAACTTCAAAAACTCTTTGCCCCCACACCACACATTACACACTACTACTCTATAAACAGTGAGACAACCGTTCGTTCGTATTTCGCTCGCTCGCCATTTTTATTTTCTTGGCGAAAAATGGGGGGAAAAGAAAATCGACCAATAATCTTTGTTTACGAATGTGATGGATGACATAACAGTATTGAATGTTTTGTTACGAATGAGACATGGAGAACATGACATGTTTTATTTGACATATTTCGCGAATGCCAAAAAAAAATATAAGGACAATATAAATATTGGCATTAAATCGTGTAAATGTGGAAATATGTATAATAGTACAAAGCGTAGGGTGAAGTATTTACTATTCGTCTAAAAATATACACACGTCTCGTCTATAAAGAATCCCTTCAAATGGTCAAATATATCAATGTAGACGAGCGGAAGGAATTCTATTTAGACATATATGACATGTCTATAAATATTCCTTACAGTTCCAAAAAATATTAGATTGGGGAAAAAGAAATCCAAGGTACAATTATAGAAGGTATCTGGAATAAGGTGTGTCTGGTTACTTTCCCTGCAGGAATTGTCCAGTAACTTCTTTCTGAGAGAGTAAGGTAGTTTTATTCTCTTTTGCAAGAAAAATGCGAAAAGTAAACAGACGGCATCCCTGCAGAAGCTTGCAACTAATCAGCTGATTTGTCAAAACAAACCAATTTGTCCGCCATTATAAAGAATTAAAAGAAAGAAAACACAACCAGTTTAACAAAAACAAAAACAATTAGTCTTGCTAATTCCAAAAAAAATTATTTTCAAATTGAAAGCACAAAAATAAATAAACAAACAATAGAAAACATCTGATTGAATGTCGATGTATGAGAAGAAGAAGAGTTGCAAGAGATTGCAAGAAGAAATTTTTCCAGCAAGAATTTGCAAACTCTCACTGAAAGAACTGTCAAAATTTCTCTCTCCAACCGCTCTCTTTTGCAGAACTTTTGGGTTAACAGACGACTTCCAGTAACAATTTGTAACAATTGTTACAAACTTTAGGGTAACCAGACACACCTATACTCAGTTGATTTGATTGTATCGTAATACTCGTGTCAAGTTGGATACGGCATTTTAGATTTATGTAGAACCACCCAGCAATAAAATTTTGTACATATTATTACAAAATGTTGGTCGTTTACCCAAAAGTCCAGTAAAAGAGGATTAATTGAAAGAGAAGATTTGACAGTTGTGTTACTGAGTATTTGCAAATTCTTGCAAGGAAAATTTTTCTTGTACCATTAGCTGTTTTGTTATGTTTTGTAAACAAACAACAAAATTGTTCTGAAGAAAATTTATTGTTTTGTGATTTTTATATTGATTTTGTATTTTTATAAACATCATCAATTTTCCGCTTTTTATCCATTTTTCTAATAAAAATGCTGCTTTTTTTGTCTGCGCCAAATTGTTTGTTGTTTTAATCAGTTGTGTCGATACAACCTATTTACTGGATGCTGTTCTTTTATGTTTGGCAATTTTATCTCTTGAGAAAGAAAAATTTGTATTACTGGGAAAGTATACGAACGCACTATATGACATGTCTATAAATATTCCTTATAGCTCCAAAAAATATTTGGTTGGGGAAAAGAAATCCATTTTTTTGTAAATGGTTTAAAAAGTTTTATGGTCGATTTTTAGCTTCAGGGCGATGTTACGAATGCTAACATGCCGGTCAACTTCGATCATTGTGCGAGGTGTATTTTTAACATCAAAAATTCCTGAACGGAATCTACGAAACCAAGTTTGCACATAATTGGCTGTTACAGTATCGGAACCATAAACACCATTCACAATTTTAGCCGTTTGACCATGCTAGGCTACATTTAGACTACTAAATCCACTCGATCTGAAATGTCAATTCCATTGCGTATACGTCACGTTATTCCTTGATATGCATTTACCGCCCATACATGTTATGATCTTGAAAGATAGCTACACAGTTACAAAGGAGGTCCTCAAAACAAAGCCACTTTGATGCAGTTGAGGAAGCAATTCAATAATACAGAGTGCCTACTATCATTGGTAAGAAGAAGAAAAAAAAAAAACACCGGAACAGAAGGTAACTGTTTTGGCACAGCTAAAATCAGCATCAGTTCGTACCTTGCGCGATTTGATGACATGACTGATAACATCTATCCGGCATGTGTGTGATGCGTGATAACTTTTTCAAACCCACACACCCTATGTTCACTATGGACACAAAACACGAGAATAGTTCTTCCCTGTATTTCAAAACATTTATAACGACATATCGCTTATAGCGACCAATTTCACCGGTCCTTTGACCGTCGTTATAAGCGATAAATATAAAAATATATAAAAGCGAAGTTCCCTGGACCACTTCATCCACTAAATATGAGGTCATTACCGAAAACTGTAGGTGTCGTATTTGATCAGAACCTATATAACTGCGACCTGTCGATACCCGTAAACTGAGAGAAAAAATTTTATATTTGCTGGTTCTCATAACAGCATCTTATAAACATGTCATCCGTTTTTTGCTCTTGCCATTTTCATTGTGTTCGTGCATAAAAACCGACGACTTCACATCTTTCTTTTTGTTTTTGTTTATATTCCGTCCTACAGCAAACTGCCACTGCAAAACACCAAAACCCATTTAACAAATTGCCGGCATAGAAATTCAAAGTAAAATTTATTTTGTTTTTGTTGTTTTACAATGGATTATTATTACTATGACGAACAGATACAAGAAAATGGAGCTGACGATGAAGATTATGAATATGACGATGCGGCATTGGGAGATGAAACGTTTACGGACGTCTGTAAAGGATGTATGCTGCAGACAACTCATCAAATTCAACAGTACATAATTATTCTACTAGGATGCGGTCTGGTCCATCGTATTCTGTGGCAGATTTTGAAACAAATACGTGAAATTAAAACGGCATATCATATACTATCAATAGCTTGCGGATTATTAAGTCTGTGGCTCTACGTGGGACCATCAACGTTGTACGTGATTATTAACATTGTTAACATTTGCTCCTTTGTGCGTGTGTTTAACGCTTTCGACCGAATCGGGCATAAAGGTTTGTGGTCATGTACATACATTATTTTCAGTCAACTCCTGGCAGAGTCATTGTTGAAACATGATAAATTTGAGTCGATACGTGGTCCTCAGATGGTGGTTAGTATGAAAATGATATCGGTGGCCTTTGAACTGCAGGATGGCCGTGAGACATTTCAATGGATTCCGATCATAGGTTATTTGTGTAGTCCATCCTCATTGATACTTGGACCCTGGGTTCCATACAAAATGTATAAGGATCACAATAAGATAAGTGGCAAAAAATTAAAACAAATTTTTAATATAATACTTTACATTATCCTTTCCATTTTCTATCTGAATCTTTCGAATTGCCTATTGCCATGGTTGAAACAACTGTGGAATGGAGGTCTTTGGTATCGTACTTATATGGATGCCCTGTCGGTTCGATGTAGTCATTATTTTATTAGTTATCTATCGCATGCTACATTATTGTCAAACATTTGGAGCCCTTCGTCCTCCCTGCTAATGCCATCGGCACCATTTCGAATTGTCAAACCATTGGAAATTGAATTTCCGCGTTCACTAGCAATGGCCATACGCAACTGGAATATACCCATGCATATGTGGTTAAAATCGACAATCTTTCAACGTATGCGTTCATCGTACGTATTTGCCATTCTCATCACCTATTTAGTATCATGTCTGGTTCATGGATTTAATTATTTAGTTTACTGTATACTAATTTCATTGGGTCTCTTTAGTTATTTTGAAAATAAATTGCGTCGAACACTGGCTCAAGTATTTAATGCCTGTATAGAGTCCACACCATGCCGAAATAGTTGTAAGTACAAACATTGTACGCGAAATAGTCGTCTTCCATGGTATACAACACAGAGTCTGTTAGTACGTTTGGTAAATGCTGTCTTTAGTTTTATTACCCTGTTACAATTGGCCTATTTGGGAGTTATGTTGAATTCGAATAATTCATCAGCATCGCCCTTAGATAATTTGTTAGTATGGTCTAATATGAATTTCTTTGGCCATTGGCTAGCTTCGACAATGGCTTTATTTTACTTCGCCATTTGAGTTTTACTCTTTCCGAATTTATATTTGTGTTAATGTGTATGTATGTATGTGCATTATTACACGGCGCTGTGGACTTAATAGGTTATTTGAAAATAAGTAATAGCATAACGATTAATTGTTGTATAATAAACACTTTTTTATATTAATATATATAAGGGAATATTGTTAAGAAATTAAATTTGTACTTGCCAAATAAATAAATAAATAACTAATTTGAGTTATTTAATTTAAAGTTCTTTGGATTTCAGGGGCTAATTATTTGAAAATCCAACACGTCAAATTTTTTTTAATGAACACAGTTTCCTTTTAGTACAATATCAAAATATAAGTGGAACTGTTGTTTTTCGCTTCCTGGGTGACCTTAATAATAGACCTTGATTTTCCATTTGCGACAATCAAGGGATCGGCGTAATTGGTCGTTATAAGCGATATCCCTATTTTCTGCTACGGTAAGATTCAAATTATAAGCGGAACTGCTGTCTTTAGCTTCCGTAAATAAATGGTCTGTTCCAGTACTTTTTTAATAGTAAAGCTAGTAAAAGGGAATTTTTTCAATATTGCTCTCAGTGTACAAAATAATTTGAAAAGTTCGAGAACTCAAATCTAGTAAAAAAGTCAAAATTAGATGGCAATACTTCAAAATCAACATAACAGCCAATCAGATGTAGGCATTCCTGTTTACTTCTGATTGGCATATAATATATTAATATAATTGGCATATATATTTACATATAATATTTTACACGGTTGGCAACATTGCACATCGAATTCAAGTAGAAATTACGCACTTTGACAGTTAATCAAGACATCAGCTGAGCTAAATGGACTACCTATTTATTGTGCCATGGCTGGGGCATTTTGCGAATCTTTTGGATGCCGTCCCTATAATCGATATGTCGTCTACTGTGTTGTAACAAATTATTGATAAAAGTCAAGTAAATCGTATTCATAGATATTTTAATTCGAACATATGGAAACCCAGCTAGCGAAAGTCAGCTGTTTTTTCTCAAGTCTACTGTCAAAAATTAGGCCTTTGTTTACGTTTTCATTATGGAAGACAATTCACAACAATTTTCACAGCAAACTTGAGAGGCCAGCTGGTCTCCCTGAACGACCCATGGCCTATAAATAAGGTCACCCAGGGAGACCAGCTGATAATCGATACCTCTCAAGTTTGCTGTCAAAATGCATTATTTAAATTGACTTCCATTATGAAAACGTAAACAAAGTCGAAATTTTTGACATTGGACTTGAGAAAAAACAGCTGTTTTCCGATTTCGATTGCTATCTTGTTGACCTTATTAATAGATCTTGGGACGACCTAATACAAGAAGTCGATTAATCGGTGGGTCGAAAGTCGATTTACTTATCCCTATTTTCGTCGTGTAACAAATTGTTTTGATTTGTTTGTAATTGCAATTAAAAATAAATACAATAACAATGGACCCCTACTATAAACCATTAATGCTGTTAACATTACTGTCCTGTGTCCATTTATCCATCTGTGTGCAGGCACGTAGCGACCGTGAACAACAAGTTACAAGTGATATTGGAAACAATGCCCGTGTTGCTGCTGCTGCCGACAATACCAACTACCGTGTTTGGGGCCCAAAAGTGTTGTGTTCCATGCTGCCCGACGATTTCCTCGAATGCAATAAGCCCATTGATCACAAGGAAAATAAAACCGCCAAAGAAGAAAAAGGATATGGTTGTTTGAAGTTTGGTGGCCTAAATTATGAAGATGTCGAACACACCAAAGTTCAATGTACCGTCTTCATTGATATCGATTGTCATGGCCCACGAACATTCCATCGAGATGGTGTACCATGTATACGGTATTCGGAACATTACTTTCTAACGACACTACTGTACAGTTTGCTATTGGGCTTCTTGGGTATGGATCGTTTTTGTTTGGGACAAACCGGAACAGCCGTGGGGAAACTACTGACTCTGGGTGGAGTGGGTGTTTGGTGGATTGTCGATATTATATTATTGATTACAAATCGTTTAACACCTGAAGATGATAGCAATTGGAATCCATATGTCTAGCAAAGGTTCTTCTGGAAACGGGAACGAGATGGAAATTAGTGGATGAGCTAAAAAATTGTGATATTCATAAATTTAAATACATGTACCGTAACTTTTAAATTTAATATATAAATATATTTTCAATTAATATTAAATAAATACAATTCGATGTTTTTTTTTTAACTTGAGTAGTAGCTGAGTTTTTGGACTCAACATGGATTTATCAAATATCACATATTTTTAATTCACATTTCATGGCGGCAGGATATAAAATTGCGGGTGCTGCTGTCATATTTCGGTTTTAATCATAGATATCGGTAGTAAAAACTGACTGTAGCCTCATTGCCTATTGAATCACTCCATTTTTATATAGGTGTAGCTGATTCACACAACAACAGTTGAACGTTTATATAAACTTCATTGAATTTTTCTGTATGAATCACAAAGTACTGTACTAAAACCCCCCAAATTCTATGTTATTTATAATTTGGTCTGTACTGTTACACTACGTTACACGGTTTATTTTATGCTACTTATATAAAAATGCATACAATAAAAATACGAGGGTTTAAAATTTTTACTGCAACTATTATTTGAAAAGAGAGATCGCATTAATGTTTATTATATCTCTTCTACATATCATATTTTAAAAACAATTTTCACATTTAATTAATATCAATATCATACATTCATAAAATATCTACTAACACACACATGTTTTGGAAAATGTTCGAATTTATTTTCAAATGTCCAGACATTTATAGCTTTGGCAAGCCAGCAGAAATGGAACTCTCAATGCCGCAATGATCTTCACCACGTAGAATTTTAAAGAATCCATTATTACCCCAATCAGTATTCCAGGAGTTGGCAATCAACCAGTATGGTGTATTCTCCGGTTTTTGAACACCCCAGCCCAAAATGCGAATAGCATGACCGCCCAATTCTTTGCCATGAACATGTTGATAAACTCCGTCCTTGTAGAGAATTAAATCTTCATAGACGGTGAAGGCACCCTCCACTGGTCCATTTGTCATTATTTCCTTTTGGATATCCTGAATATTTCTGCTAACCGAGTAAGCCTTTGACCCGTAGTGTTTATCCGTCTTGTAGTCAATGTTGTAGGAAGCTTGGCATTGATGCTGGCAACGGGGAGTTTTGCCATGTTCACCATCACAGGGGGGACGTGTGCCATTGACATGATGTTCACAGGGGGCGATTTCATAGGGACGACATCCTTGTTTGGAACCATAGGGACCACCACTTACAATACCTTTGCGTGTCCAATAGCTCCAAGCAGCACCGGGAAATCCGCCATTGCATCCGAATCCACAAGTATGGCAACAGGAAACCAAGTCATCGGCAGAAAAATGGAAATGAACCGTACCATTCGAATGAATACAGACCTACAATCAAATCGAATAAACAAAACAACATTGATAAGGGGCGGCGGCGGCGATTCATTTGAGTTGAAACATCGACAATCAAACAAAGAAGCTTAACACAATTCTACTGATAAGACAGCAGCAAATTGAATTTTGCGTATTGAATTTTCAAAATGTTTACTTACACGATCAGACATTGCTTCCACAGCACCGAATGCCCAACATGAACCACACGATCCTTGATCTCTGATCTCCTTAATAGTTGGACACTGAGGCCATTGCGTACGGGCATCAAATTCTTCCGGTATTTGGACATCTTGTAGATGTTGTTCCTCGCCCAATACCAACTTCTTATCAGGCAAAGCAAATTTGTGGGCATCGGGATGAACGCCCATTAAACGGCGAATGTGGGCCATTGACACGGATTCGTGAAAGTTCCTTCCAACGGTCCATGTTTTGGCCTTACTGCGAACAATTTCAATAAATTGATCCGACAAAATATTATCCACTTTGTCTAGACCCTGACATAGGGTCAGAACTAAGGCAAATATCATTAACTGGAGACGCATTTTTCCCAAAATAATTCCAATTATTTGTCCTTTTTTTAATAAAACAAAGACAACAATGACTTAACACAAAAGTAGACGAAACTATCCGACGAACGATTAGAGAGACGAGCTTCTACGTAGTTGGTTGCACTTGTAAAATGGTAGTATTAAATTAATAAGTCACCAGTTTGCAGTAACAAAGCAAGCTGCTGCTGCCGCCAATAATGATTTAGGGTTGCGTAGATAGTCTTTCGCATAATCGATTATTCGGATATTGAGTACCTATGATTTTTGTACGGCAAAATATTATAACGTATTTCTTATTTCATATTTTAAAACATTTATAAAACAATTCTTTGGCATATTTTTATATTTTTATTATTTAAATTCATACTTTAACACAAAAGCCTTCAAGGCCAATAAATAGTGTTAACAAAATATATTCCTAAGTAGGATTTAAAATTAATCTATAAAAAGTTATCACTTAAACATAATAATGTTTAATAATAAAAAATTGTGAAGACCTTGTTCAAACGTGGTATTATAAATTCTGGGTATACAAAACTGAGTGTTACTCGATGAAATACAAAACTGAACATATTCTTAAAAAAAAGGTAAACCACTTTTTTTATAAAAATTATAAAATCCGGAAACAATCTCATGAAAGTCAACTTCCAAGAAGTTTTTAACAAAACCGGAAATATGACCTCTACTCCTTGTAAGCTCTCATAAAATACCCAGTATTTGATGAGAGCTTTCAAAATTAATTAGGTTATCATGAGTTAAAGTACCAAACTTCATAGCTGTTGTCTTCAGGGGATTACATTTTAATGACCATTGTCCAAAGACCATTGATGGAAACACCAATATACCAAAATGTATATCACGTTCAATAGTCCTTGACTAGTTCCAATGAAATTCAGTTTAAAAAATGCTACAAGCATTGAGTGGTCTGTCTTTGGGCGATATAACCCAAAGACATTATGTTGGGTACACACTGTATAATGTCTCATATTGTTGGTAAGAAGTTATAATTTATTTGTACGACTATATATCATCTGGTTAAGCCACTATCTTTGTTCGATGTTGGTTCAATTTTTACAAAATTACTATGTGTACCGTTGTTGCTGACAATTTTTAGTATGAAAGTCTTTTCAATGACATTTCTGCGTTTACGACAGCCAGATGAATCGATTTCAGTTTGAGGTTATAAAAGGATCAATCTATATATCGAGGAATCCAACCACCTTGTGACATGCTGTATCGACTGATTTGCCTTTATTTACGTTTAATGAATTTTTTATCTCAAGCTACAATAATCGTTACATTGTCTTTAATATGAAAGAGGAAATATTATAGTGGTTTGAAAAGCTATTTAAATATGTTACAGTTTGAGTTGCATTGAAATAATTTATCAATTATATATGTGTTTTTCAAATAATTCTAGCCGTTATTTTAAAATGCAAAGTGAGAATATTTTTATAATAAGTGATGCTATTGATTTAGGTTCCCTACGTTGGTTGTATTATCATTAGGTGTGTCTTTTATTTCATCTACATAATTCTTAGCACTAGAGTATAATACATTTTTACAAAGAATGCAATTGTACAAAAATATGTTGTTTTTTTTTCAATTGTAACACACCTCCTATATGCACGACAAATTTTATCTCTAATTCAGATAACTTTTTTTTTTTTTTTGATTTGCATATAATTCGAGTGTGTTTGTGATCCGAAGGAAAGCATAAACATTGCGAACATTGCTATTTGGCATCTTTGGGCCTCTTAATTGTATGGCATCGGTTAGTTGTGATTTAGCCATCAATCTCAGTGTTCACTCGGTGGTGTGTGCGAAAGGAAAATATATCCAACAAACAGTCCAATTGGCGACACTTTTAATTATTATTTTGTGTCTAGAATTTTTTGTCTTGTGCAAAAAAATACAAAAGACTATAGCCATTGCTGGCGCTGCTGCTGCTGTTGCTGGTTTATTTATATGCCCCCCTAAAAGCCAAAAACAAAAACGGCAAAAAATGCATGTGTGAGGCGACTTTACACATATTTCTGCCGTTGTTCGGTTTAATATTTGTACATCCACATTTGAATTGGATTTTTTGTTTTCGTTTGTAGAAGGGATCTTTTTTGCAGATCTATATATACATATTGCAGCAGATCGTTCGTCGGTTTGGTTCGCAAAAGAACCATTCTTTTTGAAACGAGGAGTTTCATGCATGTGCTTGCATTGCTTTTAGTTGCACAGACGAAAGACACATACATAGAGGTGAGTGAGTGCCTGCCTAGTAGTGAACTTTTATATAACTTATTGCGATTTTGTAGTCAGTATTTTTCATAATTTAAAATTGCAGATTAATTTTACTTTATTGTTATTTTTTAGCTAAACCATGAATGCTGAAAAACTACGCCGTTTGCAGTCCCAGGTGCGGATAGGTGGTAAGGGTACCCCACGTCGCAAGAAGAAGGTTATGCATCAGTCCGCAGCTACAGATGACAAAAAATTGCAAAGCTCTCTAAAGAAGTTGTCCGTTAGTACTATACCCGGCATTGAAGAGGTTAACATCATCAAAGATGATCTAACGGTTATACACTTCAATAACCCTAAAGCTCAGGCATCGTTGTCGGCAAATACCTTTGCCGTTACAGGACATGGAGAAACCAAAAAGATTGTCGAAATGTTACCCGAAATTTTACCACAGTTGGGTCAAGACACTGTTATGCAGTTGCGTATGTTTGCCAATACCATGACGGGCAATCAGGCCGCATCAAAGACCGCAGCCAAAGGTAAGATTGGCAGCACATTAGAAAATGTCGCTGAAGAGGATGATGAAGTTCCAATGTTGGTAAATGATTTTGAGGAGATTGCCAAAATGGATGAGGCTAAGTTGAACAAAACTGCCAAAGAAAAGCCAAAAATTGAAAAAAAGACATCCCAAAACTCTGCACCGCCGGCGAATAAAGAAAATGGCGAAATCAAGCAACAACAAAAACAAACTGATGTAGAACAAAAAGTCGATGTGGCAAAACTTGAGTCCACCGCTGCAAAGAACGAGGAAAAAACGGACAAAAAATCAAAGAAACAACAAAACAAACAGTCGGCCAATGGGGCAGCTAAAAATAAAAATGAAACATCTAAGACCGATACCAACAAACAACAACAGAAACCAAACCAAAAACAAGTAAAAATTGCAGTGCCAAACGAGAAGAGTGCCGAGCAACCGAATGACTCCAAAGATGTAGCAACCAATACCAATCAAGGTGGAAAATCTATGAAACTAGAAGCGGGAGACAAGGTGCAATCGAAGAATGATGTTGAATCGAAAGATAAAGGCAAAAATGCTGCAGATAATAAAAATAAAATATCTGAAATGAAAGAGGAAAAAACTCCGAAAACAGCAGAGGACACTTTAAAACACAATCTAGACAACAAATTGAAAAATGACAAAACGAAGGAAGTTAAAGAGGCTGCAATTGTTGACACAAAAGTTGCGCAAACTCAGCTAGCAACTGCCAAGCCGCCAATGGAAGCAAAAGATGTAAAACCCCAAGAAGCTGCAAAGGCGACCCAAGAAAATAAAGATTCAAAGTTGTCAGAAACTCTAAAAGCTGGTGAGCAAAAACTTGCAGCAGCACCTCAGCCAACTGTACAAGAACCCACAAATGTACAGAAAATTGATGAAAACCTAAACCTAACACCAAAGAGTCCATCACCCCAGCCTATGGCAAAGGGTAAATCTAAATCAAAATCACCCCAACCCCCCGGTGTTCAGAAACAACAATTGGCTGCAAGCAACCAACCGCCAAAGAGTCCATCACCACAACCACAACCTGTTGTACAAGAAACCAAAGACCTGAAGAAAGTAGAATTGCCAAAAGAAAGCACTACAGCAAGGCCAAGTCCATCTCCAATGCCTACGGTGCAAGAGCCAAAAGACTTGGGCAAACAAATGGAATTGTCAAAAGATGAAAAAGTCCAATTAGCTCCAAAAAGCCCCTCACCACAACCCCAAGGTAAATCGAAATCAAAATCTCCACAACCCAAAGAGAAACAAATGCAGCAGCAACAACAATTATCACAAAATAATCAAGCTGTCCCAAAGAGTCCTTCACCACAGCCCACTGTGCAGCAACCAAAGAAAATGGAATTGCCAAAGGATGATAGAGCGCATCAGACTCCAAAATCTCTATCACCACAACCCTCTGTGCAACAGTCAATTAAAATTAATGATAACGTGCCAAAGAGTCCATCGCCACAGCCTCAGCCCGCAGTGCAGGAACCAAAGAAAATTGATTCACCTAAAGAAGATAAAGCTCAACAGGTCCCCAAGAGCCCTTCAACACAGCCCATTACACCGGAAACAAAGGAAGTAAAGCAAATGGAATTACCGAAAAATGATAAATCTCATTTGGTTCCGAAGAGTCCATCACCTCAGCCCATGGCCCAAGGTAAATCCAAATCAAAGTCACCACAACCCAGAGAAAAGTCAATGCAGGAAGCGGCTGCAAAAAATCTAAATGCACAGGGTGCTACAACGAAAAGTCCCTCCCCACAGCCTAAAGCAAAATCTCCGCAACCAAAAGATGTGAAGAAGCAGGATGCAGCTGCAAAACCCAAAACCGAAGTAGCAAAAGAAGAAGCAGCTCCAATAAAACCAGAGACCCCAAATGATTCCACTAAAAAAACAGAAGAAGAAGTAAAGGAAATTAAGGAGGATAAAAAGAGCGAAACTATTGCGAGTAATGCTAATATTATTAAAGAAGAAATCAAGAGCCCAACATTACCGGACAATAAATCTGAAATTGCTCAAGTAACTACTGCTGAAGCCAACAAAGATGTGGGAGGAACGAAGGCACAAGTCTCAAAAGATCCAGAGAAAAAAATAGATACAGTCCAACAAAAAACTGACACAAAACGATCTAATGTTCCACAAGAAACAGCCAAGAAAGACGAATCACAGGCAAAAACATCCAATACTGGCACTGCCCAAAAGTCGCCCAATCAAACACAACAAGGTAAAAATGCCAAACAGGCAACTCCAACTAAACCCGCACAACAAGCAACCAAACAAAGTTCACCAAAGGCCATAGAAAAACCTAATGTGACCAAAACTACTGCCTCTCCACAAAAATTGGCAACATCTCCTCCAGTAAAAAAGACCAGTGCAACTTCATCGCCTGTAACATCACCACCAACCACACCAATTGAATCTCCCGTAAAACCAAGTGAGATTAAAACCACAGATGCCCAAAAGAAACCCCAAAGCCAAGCCGGACCAAAGCCCGGACAGGCAGCTAAACCCGGCCAGACAAAGCCTGTCACGGCTGGAAGTAAACAACCATCAACAACAAACGCACCCGCAACAGCAGCCAAGAAAGTACAGTCTCCTGGACAACAAGATAATAAATCAACCAAACCAATGCCAGCTGCTCCCAATACTGGAGGGATGAAAGCAAAATCAAAATCGCCACCAAAAACTGATCCGAAAACAGTAACAGCACCAAAACCGACCAATAATCCAACAACAACAACTCCTTCTTCACCACCACCACAACAACAACAACCATCTGCTCCAAAATCCAATCCTTAAATATTATATTTCTAAGCAAGCATTTTTTTCTATCACGCATTTTATTCATTACTAATTACTGTTTAATTGCACACGTTTATCTTTCTTTTTTAAACCTATACTAACCCATCAACATAAATACACACATATTTTTTATTTGTTATTTATTTAAAAAAAAAAAACAACCTCCATGCCGAACTTTGTAGATCAAAATATTGATTTTACAATAAATGGTTGTGGCGGAAACAAAAAATTTAATTTTGTTTTATTTCATATACGACATACATATGGCCACTACTTTATACATATAAACAATTGGTTCATTTTCGAAACTTTAACTTCGTGAGAATATAACCATGTGAACGGAATATAACTCCAAACGGACTTTTGAGAAGAGGTGTTTATTTTTATCCGAATTGGATGAAATTTGGCACGGCTCATTTACTTGGCCCAAGGACGAACCCTATTGAAATTGGTGAAAATCGGTTCAGATTTAGAATAGCTCCCATATATATTTTCGTACGATTTAATGTAAATGGTGCACCAAAGCCCATATATATCTTTCGATTTGTATGAAATTTGGTATAGCGTATTGAATTAAGTCTAGAATGATTTGTTTTAAGTTTCCTGAAAATCGGTTCAGATTTAGATGTAGCTCCCATATTATTTTCGTCCGATTTTAAGTTATTGGAGCACCAAAGCCCCCTACATTTATCTCTCATTTATCTCTACATTTATTTGTGAACGGTTAAATGTCTACATAGCTGATTTAGTACAGTTCTTCCATCTGAGGAATATGAAGATATCCGCCGCCAAATCCACAGCCACTCTGTTCACCACATGGACGGCTGAAATGTTCTGAACGTCATGGTCGATGGTGTAATAATTCCGACCACTAATTACCCAAAAATTTTGGGAGTAACGTTCGATTTATTTAAGTCGTCCGCGCAAGCCACCGCTATTTGCGATAAGATGAGAAGTAGGAACAAGGTCCTCAAGTCGCTTGCCGGCAGCTCTTGGGGTGCTGATAAAGAGTCCTTGTTGACCTCTTACAAAGCAATAGGTCGGTCGGTGGTAAGCTATGCGGCGCCAGTGTGGTATGCGAATGTAAGCGATACGCAGTGGAAGAACATACAAGCCTGCCAGAATGCCGCCCTGAGAACTGCGACAGGGTGCCTCCTTATGACGCCAGTGGACCATTTACATGAGGAGGCAATGGTCTTACCCGTACATCGGCACAACAGGATGTTGTCGATGCAGTACCTGCTTGGGTGTTATCGCAGGAATCATCCATGCCATAATCTTATGGATAGAATTCCCCACCCAGGCACGTAAGGAGAGACCTACATGATCTAGAGAGAGAGGTCCAACGGTATAAAAGAGAACCCCTAGATCGTGAGGCTTATCGAGCAGGAATTACTAACATTCATACGGAAGCAGTGACCCAGGCAATGGACCAATACCGTGTGAACGCTGTACTTGGAGTCCACCCACCACCTATAGCAGCAGAAGAACGTGAGCTGCCTAGACAAACGAGAGTGGTTTTAGCCCAACTAAGATCAGGATGGTGCAGCCGCCTCAATTCGTATTGGGCCCGAATTGACAGCGCGGTTCCAAACACATGCCCTGCATGTGGATTTGGACCTCACGATACGCTGCATCTCTTTAACTGCCCTGCTAAACCCACTCATCATCGACAAATTACAAACAAAACCCTTATCTAATAATTCAAAACCCAGCTAGGGTTTTACCATCATAAGCTTTCAGATTTTGGCGATCACAATTGGTTCGAGAACTTTTTTGAATATTTTCAAATGACAATCTCTCTCAAAATCAGTTACTGAGAATTTTTTTTTAATGGAGAGTTATCGTGAATATATATTGCTTACATAAATTTAAACAAATCTTTTTGCAAATATTAAATTTATTCGTATATTTGTTTTATTTTTTTATTTATTCTAATATTTTATCAAATATTTACTCAAAGTGATTGCATATTCTCTTATGTATTATACGATATTTCAAACATCGAAGGTGAATAAAGGTATACAACAAAATAAACAATATAAAATTCTGGCATAAATATATATACATACATATGTATGTGCATTTTAAAAGAAATATATAAAACTTGTTGGCTTATTCTTTTTTGGTGTCTTCTACAGCTTTTGTTGCTTGTTTATCTTCGGGATTTAATTTATATACGGAATAGTTAAGCATTGTGGCAAAGCTAAGCCAAGCAATGTAGGGTATAAACAATAAACCGGCAATTTTGTTGACACGATAAAAAAGCACACCACATAGAGTGGCTGTTGTTGTTAGAGCTGCAATGTCTATTAGACCCTGAAATGACGAAATAAATGAAATAGGCATTAAGACGTAGTAACTGACTGGTTTGACTGACTGACATACCCCTTTAATATTGTGATTGCCAAAGAAGATTGGAGTCCATGCCCAATTTAATGCCAATTGTGTACCATATGTGATCAATGGCCATTTGGCATCACCTGTAAACGTACCGCCACAATCTCTCCACACCAAATACGAGGCATAGCCCATCGATGAATAGATCGAAGTCCACATTGGAGCAAATAACCAATTTGGTGGACGATAGGAGGGGAAATTTAATTTCTTATACCATGGATCGAGATTTTTGCGGGTAATAAAACCACCCATAATACCTCCCACATTGGGTAGGATGACGGCACCGGCTACTTTCCAATATTCACTGCTCATTTTTGTGTGTATTTTTTTTAATATTCCAGAATATACCAAAACAATGGATCACTCTTAGTAAATATAAATTAAGAAATTTACACAACAGCTGACTGACTGGAAGAGATTGTTGCTTTGAAGTTCTAATTCGCACTGGCAATACAATTGAGTGTACGTGCCGTTTTTTACTTGAAAATGATTGTGTGAATACTTCCAGAGCCCGTCAGAGATGAATGCATAACGTAGATGGTTGGGTCTCTTGCCTCTTTCCATGCATTTCCATTCAATAATTACTCATTGTTTACTAATTCTCTCGCTCAGTAACTCTTTGCACGTTCATGCACATTCAAACAAGCATAAACAAACAAAAAGTCACCGTGTGTCCGTTGTTAGTGTCTTTTATTATTCGAATACAAATACAGGTCAAACGAATTGACCCTTTGAAGGGGTAGTTACAAATGTAGCCATGGCAACAATTTTCCAAGGATCAAATACAATATTCAGGACATTGAAAGGATATTATAATAATACATAATAATTTTGTATTTAGCCGTAAAATGACACTTTTATTTGATACTAAAGTTGAATTTTTGGATGCAGATGCAGTGGGCACAATTGGATCATGGCATTCACGCGAACCAATATTTGCGGTGGCATCATACAGTCAAGAAAGAGGTGGTTCGGTAACTGTTTTCACTGATACGGTATGTAGAGAGGATTACACAAAAATTATATTTTTGCTAAAAAAAATCTCGGTTTTTTACTTTAGGGAGAACCTCAACGAGATGTCACTTATCCAGTACATCCAACATCACAATGTACCGCCATGGCCTGGCACCCGGAGCGTATACTTTTAGTAAGCTGTTGGGAAAATGGTGACATACATGTATGGTTCAATGGCCATCGTGAATTCGCCAGTGTCAGTGGTCCACACAAAGCCGCTATAATCCTTGTCGAATTCAGTGAACAAGGTGGACGTATGGTTACTGCTGATACAATGGGTCTATTAACTGGTTGGCGTTGTGACGGTCAATATCAATTTCTTACCATGTTTTCACATGATTTACGTGATGTCCTTTCGTTGATAACATTTCGTCGCACCATATGCAGTGAACTGCGTGAAGAAATGGTTAACTTGGCTAAAGCTGCTGTGGCCGGTGATGAAAATGCTTTGGATACCCTGACAAATTGGAGACCACGAACAGCTGTGCGAACCGCTACTCACACCGATATCAAGGATAATTATTGTTTTTTCGTTTGCACTCAAGTGGGGCAGATGTATTATATTAATCAGGGGGGAACGTGCACAGAGGTGGTTAATAATAATTCCGTATCAATAACACAAATGTTATGGCACCAAAAAAAGTAAGTACATAAATATTTGAATAAATGTTATTTTGGAATAATTTATTAATACTATTTTGTTTTTTTTTAGAGATGCCGTTATATGCCTAACGGAGGATATGTCCGTTATATTGTTCTTAGTCGAATCAACGGGTATTTTAACTGAATTGGATCGTGTTAAATTGAGCTGTAAATTGACGGGAAAGAAAGGAGCTATAACATGGGTTGGTTCTACATTGGCTATAATAACAGGTTGGTTGGTATTGGGTAGAATGGTAGTATAAAGTTGGGTATCATATCTGTAGCTTGGCTTGGATCATCCGTACATATACAACTTCACCGAAACAACATCAAACATAGAAAAATAATTATTTGTTAATTGATTACCTTCAAGCAGTCCAATCGAAATTCCATCAATACTTTAGATGTATAGTCATACATACATACATATCTATCGTGGCAATGCACTTCATACATTTATTTGTAGTACAGATAAGTTAACACATGTGATAAAAGTATTAAATTGAACAAAGGAATTTTGAATGTAAGATATAACATGGTTTCTTATCAATTTCTATAAACTAAACCACACCCGGGTGTTATTTTTGGGCGTTTTATACCCTTCAGCACACTGTGGTACAGGTTATTATGTCTTTGTGCATATGTTTGTAACAGTCAAAAAGAAACGAGATAGACACATGGTTCCTTTTAGAATATGCAAATAATCACTTTCTGAGTCGATTTAGGCATGTCCGTCCGTCCGTCCATGTTAAATTGTAAACAAAGAACAGGTCGCATTTTTTATTCGAATTGGATGAAATTTGGCACAGCTCATATATTTGGCTCAAGGACGAACCCTATTAAAATTGTGGAAAATCGATTCAGATTTCGATATAGCTCCCATATATATATTCGTCCGATTTAATGTAAATGGTGCACCAAAGTCCCTATATATCCTTGAATTATCACATAATTTTCCATAGCGTATTAAATTAAGTGTAGAACGATGAGTGTAAATTTCGTGAAAATCGGTTCAGATTTAGATATAGCTCCCTTATATAATTTCGCCAGATTTAAGGTAAATAGTGCACCAAAGTCCCTTTATATCCTTCGATTTGCACGAAATTTTGCATAGCGTACTGAATTGAGTATAGAATGATGTGTGGTAAGTTTCGGAAAAATCGGTTCAGATTTCGATATAGCTCCCACATACACATATATATTCATATATAACTACTAATATTTGTCCGATTAACATGAAATTTTGCACAAGGTATCAAATTGAGACTTGAATGACGTTATATATATATATATATGTATATTGTTACCCTTTTAAATTGATATATTTGTTTATATTCACAATCTCTGTATTATTATTTTTAATTCATGTTGATTTTACTCGGATGAGTTATAAGCTGTGTAATGTTTTGACCTTGGTGGTTTCCATTACAGGAATGAATTGAATAAATAATCACTAGTATTTTTGTATATTTTCTCCACCCTTCTAACCAACCTTTACCTACAGGCGATTTATCTGTACGCATTTGGGATATTGAGAAAAGTGATAATTATGTACTAAAAATGGACTTACCCAGTGCAAAGACATCAACCGTTGGCGAGTATCAATCAACAACGGCAGCAGCAGCATCAAATTTCTTCAATCAGGATAATGGTATTGAAAACGGCATCATGATGAATCATGCCAGCGGTGCTATTCGACATCTTAAGAGCAGCAGCAACACACACAATAATTCTAATGAATATTTCACCTGTATCACTTACATCAACGACAATCAAACTTTAAATGCTGGCACCAATTTGGGTAATCTATATACATGGAAACGTAATGTGGGCTATAAATCTGCTGCACCTGAAGATATGTGGAAATTAACGAACATTTCATATTTACGCGGTTCTATAAAACAATGTCTGTGGGGTTTTAATGAGCTGTCGAAGCCATGTTTATTGGTTAATTGTGTGTCCAATGTGTATGTCCTGAAGGTATGATGTATGTGAAGTGATGGCTTGAATACTAACTCATAAATTTCCACTTTTAGGAACAACCACTGTTGTCCTTTCATAGCCGTGAATTGTGGGCAATTCAACAAAGTGCCCGAACTATTTTCCTTGCATATCATGACAAACGAAATTGTACTGTGCAAGCAGAATTTTGTGTTACATCACTGGCCTTGGATGTGGCCAATATGGCCTTGAGTAATGGCCGAAGTATTACCACTTATCTCATAGACAAAGATGTCACGGATGCTACGGAGACATCATCATCTAGCGATAGCCTTAAGACGGATAAAAATTCGAATCAACTGGTTGTGACATTGTTGCAAACCTTCAATGCAGATTGTTTGGCTTTGGGCTTACGCCAACAAAATGTATTTTGCCTGACTACCAATGATGTAACAATCTATTCCATAGGCGGAGTAGTATTGCATAAAATAATATCCAGCACCACGGAGGGGAAAATAATCGGCATGGATTTGACGGCAACCTATTTGTCAATCTTTACAATGAATGGCTATATCAAATGTTATGATGTGTCACGCCACGATCCAAGAATGTTATTTCCCGCCAAATCTGCCTATGATTTATTCGAAGATTTTGGCGAAGTTATTTTACTCAAATGCAATTCGGATGGCACCCACTTATCGATGATCATTGCCAATCGTAGTTTCGCTCCTCAACCCATTCTATATTGTTGGGATTTCGAAAGAAATACTTTAATGGAATTTGATATGCGTAGCGGAGGAGAGATGGATTCGGGAGAATTGAATTCATGTATACCAGTATCATTGTGGTGGGATTCGGAAGAACCTCGGCTGTTGGCAATGGAAATCAAATCTATGAAACAACAACATAATGAGAAAAATCGAACAAAACCGAATGACACCACGGCCACCAGTCGACATGGGTATGTCGAGGCCGCCGTTTGGCTCTTCTTTTATTCGGATAATAACAAATTAAATGTCTTGGAAACTAAGGATTTGGCTGCCGGTGAACAACTTGTGGACATGTGTATTCCTTGTGTGGTAGGATCATCCGATATTTTATGAACTTAAAAACACCTAACAAAAACTTTATTTTCTTCTCCCACAGATAACATTGGACATCAGTGTGATAAGAGAATCCCCATTGCGGGATTTTAGTGATTTAAAGGATTGTGACACCTCAACCCGACGTATGGTTTTGAATTTCAGCATGCACGTTGCGGAAGGTAATATGGATTTAGCCTATCGCAGCATCCGATCGATACAATCAAAAGCAGTTTGGTCCAATTTGGCGAAAATGTGTATAGAAAGTCAACGGCTGGATGTGGCTAAAGTTTGCCTGGGTCATTTGGGTCAAGCCCGCTCGGTACGCTCCATTCGCGAAGCCTTAGAAGATGATGATTTGGAAATAGAAGCAAAAACTGCTGTACTTGCTACCGAATTAAATATGCTCGAAAAAGCCGAAGAGCTATTGGAGAAATGCGGCAGATATGATCTATTGAATAAACACCTGCAGGCCACTGGGAAAATTGACGAAGCTTTGAAAATAGCTGAAACACATGATCGTATACATCTGAAAAATACCTACTATCACAAGGCTAAGGAATTGGCGGATAAGGGTGATATTTCGGGGGCGTTGGAGTATTTTGAAAAGACTCAAAATCCGGTACAGAATATAACAAGATTACTTTTGGATAATCCCATAGCGTTGAAGGTGGGTGTGGGGATCTGTTATTCTGATTTTAAATTTGTATCCTTATGTTTGCAATATTTCAGCGTTACATGCAGAACACCACAGATCCAAACATGCTGAAATGGTGGGGTCAATATGTAGAAAGTTCTGGTGATATGGATGGTGCTTTGGCGATTTATCAAAAAGCCGATGATTGGTATTCTCAGGTTAGTATATATTTATGTATTTGTTGGACTACCAGTACAAGTGCAATTTCTGTTAAGTTCTACATATCGAAATATGGAACTAATTTAAAACAATTTCGAAATGCAACATAGCAGCCATGAAAAAAATGAAAATGGGCGGAGTGTGGGAATATGCTGAATCATGGAAATTTTATAAGATTTCTGTGAAGGAGTTTATATAGAGGGCATGTATTCAACATTGTTTGCGATATTTTTTACCCTCATATACCAAAATGTGGAGCGACTTATTCTAGGAATAATAATAATTTATTTGAAAATTGTCAGAATTTAAGAGATCGATGGCGATTTCAGAAGCGGGAGATTTATATAGCGGACATGTATTGAATATGGTTTGTGATATTTTTTTATCCTCATATAGCAATATGTGGAGCGATATATCCTAGGAGTAATAATAATTTATTTGAAAATTTTCAGAAATTACGAAATCGATGGCGATGTCAACAGACTGCCGGACACTCTAATACTCTATATGACTTACCACATATTCCCACTTCCCCTCACATTTTAGGTAAAAATCTTATGCTATTTGGGTAAAATATCCAAAGCCGATGCCATTGCCCGGCAATCTGGAGATCGTGCTGCATGCTACCACCTGGCCCGTCATTATGAAAATGTGGGCAAATTTCAAGATGCCATTATGTTCTATACACGTGCTCAAACCTTCAGCAATGCCATACGCATTTGCAAAGAAAACGATTTTCAGGATGAACTATGGACGGTGGCGAGTTCATCACGTAATCGCGACAAAGCTGTTGCTGCAGCCTATTTCGAAGAAGTTGGATCTTTCAAACGTGCCGTCGAGCTATATCATAGAGCTGGAATGCTGCACAAAGCCGTCGATATGGCATTTGAATCGGAACAACCGGATATATTGGAAGTTATTGCTTCGGAGTTAACAATTGATTCGGATCCCGAATTAATACATCGTTGTGCTGAATTCTTTATGGGTGTGGAACAACATCAAAAAGCTGCACACCTTCTGGCCAAGACAAAACAATTGAAAAAGGCCATACAAATATGTGTTGAAAAGGGCGTTCCCATAACCGAAGACTTGGCAGAAATGTTGACACCTGCCAAGGGTGAGGTGGAAGAAGATACACGCATATATATACTTTCACAGTTGGGAGAGTTATTACAACAACAGGGTGATTATCATACCGCCACAAAGAAATTCACCCAAGCTGGAGATAAGGTGCGGGCAATGAAAAGTCTTCTGAAGTCGGGGAATACCGAGAAAATCATATTCTTTGCAAATATGTCGCGGCAACATGAAGTCTATATAATGGCCGCAAATTATTTGCAAGCTCTTAACTGGCAGGACGATAATAATATATTGAAGCATATTGTTACATTTTATACCAAGGGTCAGGCCTATGATTCATTGGCGAATTTTTATGCAATTTGTGCACAAATTGAAATCGACGAATATCACAACTACGAAAAGGCCCTGAAAGCAATGCAGGAGGCCCACACCTGTTTGGGTAAATTATGTGGTGGGCATAGTCAAGCGGCAATTAACAACTTACAAAGGACAATGGCCGATGTCAAATCGATATTGGATATACAAAATGCTCTCAAAAATGGTGATAATCAAGTGGCCATATCCGGTTGTCGTAATATGTTGAGTAAGTCCACGATTATTTTTCTATATGTACATATGGGAAATTACAAAATTCTTTTAAAATTCCATAAAAAAAATTTGAAAACATTTTTTGCGAGCACATTTATGATTTTTGGTACATAGGTTAAGAAAAATATGCTGATTCGAAATATGTACGCGTTCACAAATTCGGATGCTGCGCACAAAAGTTATAGCGGTTTTAAATCTTGTATTTCAAATATAAATTAAATTAATTCATATTTGTTGTAATTCGCGAATTTCTTCACAAATGGTTAAACACATTTGTTTTCTTTGTATACTTGTCAAATCATATTGAATTACGGTTAAATTGTCGCGAAAAACAAATAAAAGCATGAAGATATCTGCAAATAAAATAAATTAATTTTTAATTAAATCGAAATGTTTTTTTTTTGAATTTTCGATTTTTTTAGTATGGTTAAGGGAATACGGTTTTGCTTTAATCTTCTAAAATATGCGACGCTTTTTTCTTCAAATTCTTTTAGATGATTGTTAAATATCTGTATATGCATCTTATGACAGTTTCGACTGTAAAAATGACTAAATATACGATTTTTATGCGCATCCGATTTCAGTAATCCCCTATGAAAATACACAAAAGGACACCTAAGAACCGCGGATGTGCCTCCACAATCGGTTTTGCTTAAAATACGCATATTATTCGCGTATCGATATATTTTTGACCTATTTTCACACAGAATATGATAACACAAGAATGAATGTATGTGAAATCAATTCAAAGAATAACGCGATTTCATAGGCGAATTTGTCAAAATAAGTTTTTGCAGTTTTTCCCACATTCAAGGTACCTATATCCGCCGTTTTATTGGGCGGAATTGATGGGCTCATTAGATCCGGCACTTAAAAAAAAAACTAAAATCACGAGGGGTTCCACGGAATTTGAAAGGACTTTCTTAATTTTAGACTCAAAAAATATGTTTTTTATAAAAATTTACGCACCAAATTTTCGTCTTTGGAACCCAATTGCAAAGAAGCTACGGTGAGCACATTCATGAGATATACACTAAACGAAGCAAAATCACGAGTTCTACAATCCTATAATTAGTTTAGTCCATTATATTAGGATGCGCATCCAGGCATCCTAATTATAAGACAAATTCAAAAAACTCCGAAAATCCGGCTTCAAAATGTCAGCATCCTTTTTGGGTGGATGCAGTGATTATATCGAAAAATCATACATTACAACCATATTGACCATGGGGTATTCTGCAACTTAGTCACTGATCACATGTGCGTGCGTTGTGTAGTTTAGCCACAAATCAGGAAGGAACACAAAAAAACTCTTTGGCTTCAACACATTTTCACCCATTTTTTTACATTACCACCATCACAGCTTCGACGCAACTTATTATTTATTTTATTTTTATTTTTCATACATTCTAATGCCAATAAGTCTTTTAGACCAAAGTCGACATCATTTTAAGTACAAGTTTTTAGCATATATACATGACCAAGCAAGAAAAAAATTTTATTACAATTTAACAAAGATATATATGATATAAATTAAACTTGGCTCCCCAGCCAAAGAAAATAGGAAAATTTGAGGAAATACCCATAATTTGTTGATAATTACACCCATACTAATGAATCAAATTAACTTTATTGACGAAGGTACAATAAATAATGTTGCTTAAATGTATAAGACGAACTGGCAAAATTGCGCAAACTATTTGGTAGGTTATTCCACAACCTAGCTACTCGAACGACAAACGATCTATCATAGATTAATGGCCCAAATCGAGGAAGGAGAACTTGCGGATTTCGTGTAGATCGAGAAAATGTGAACTTTGTGTGAACCATCTCTGGAATCCCAGTTTTTACTATTTTATAAAAACATACCATAACTCGTGCATTTACAAAAGATTGAAAAGGCACTCCAAGGAACTCCGTAACATAGTTGGAAACGTGATCACGATATTATTTATTACCAATATTTTAAGATTTTGAGAACACTTCATTTTATAGAAATAAATTTAAATTATATGGAATATGTTCATATTTCGCGAGTTATAACCTTGCAAACCTCAGCTTCAAGGAATTTAAAAGATTTTTGTAATTTCCCATATATTTGAGTATTACTAATTTCATTCCTTTTATTTTAGTTAAACCAGAAATGCCACCAATACGCCAAGCGGACATAATTGCTTTGTTGGTGCGCGCTTTAACAAATACCAAACAATATAATGAAGCTGCCAAGGCTTTAAAAGAGCTATCCATACGAGATCCTGGTTGGTGTTCGTCGGGAATTCTAGAAAAATCGCTCGTACAGAGAATTGCAAAGGAATGTAATTTGGATTTTGATTTGATATGGAAACCAAATCAATCGCGCGCAATGGACAATGATTCCGATAGTGATCAAGATGAGATACAGGAAGTTTTACGATAGACCATTAAATGTATAGTATATATAAATTTCTCGTTTAATGTAAATAGTATGGCTTCTTAATATAAAACAAACTTACAGGTCATTAAACATATTCTCAAACCGATTATTATGAAGAAAACGAGATTCAGTTAGGATTCATTGTTCGCGTTTTTAATAAAATGAGGGAAATGGGTAAAGTGTTCCTGTATTCAGGTGTATGTGTGTCCTGTCTGTGAACTTTTCCAGTCATACATATTTTAAGAGTGTAAAATATCTACTTTCTCAAAAAAATGCTCTGTCCCATTACAAATAAGGCCCTTGGGACTTCATGTGTGGTATTTCAAAATTTGTGATATTTTAACTTCTTCCTCAACCTTTGACGTCAAAATTTGGGGTGGATTTTGACGAATTTTTCTGAAAATTTTAACACATATAAGTTTCGGCAACCTGAGGTCGATAATATATGACTTTCATGGGGTAAGTTCCGATATATAGACCTCTGAAATTCCGAGATTCATCTGCTCGTCTGCTTGGTCGTGTTAAATTTTCAGGCAAATCCGAGATGAGCCCCTAAATTCAACTTAAGCCATTGAGTGATGCGACGTAATCTCATTTTATTTAAATATCATAACATTGAAATCAGAACTCCAAGGTATCCTTGTAGTTCTTGCAGGAAAAATTTAATATTAAATAAAAATTACTTACCCAATATTCAACTCGTCAATGGCAATAACGAAATAAATAAATAATAACGAAGTAAAACATGTATCCCGTTTATAAGAATGTGCGGCAGAACTTGTATTGCAACTTGATTTTACGCCTCATTTAATAAAATTTAACATTCCGCTAAAAAAAACTCAGATGAACTGACCAAATTTGTTAGCAAACAAAACCGTTCATGAATCGTAATGAAATATTCGTCGAAGTATTGAAATGGTCTATTAACCGAATGTTTGGTTTTTGCCAATACTAAACGATTAATACAAGTAATCGATATTCCCGTAAACACACATTTTCGGATCCAGAAACTGAAAATTCTTTCTATGCGTGGTTTTATATTTGTCGGGATCGGGATCGGTGTTGAGAGTTTCTCTCTCTTATGCCATGTTCTGACGGGCATCCGAACAACGTAGTTCGCTCTCAGAATTACGTACATGAATTAACCCGTTCATACAACACTATTCATAATTCATATCATCAGAGTTTTTTATTTCAAACTTTTTGTTTCTTGTTTTACACCAATATGTAACATATTTTAGTGAATTACATAGGGATCTAAATAGAAAAAATAATTCTCTTTCTCCTGACTATAGTATGAACCCATATCTATTTACTTTTCATTCATGTTTTCCATTTTTTCTGAAAATGTTGTTGTTTTTAATACATTTTTATATTTTCTCAATTCAAATGTCACATACTGTCACAAATAAAATTTTGGAGAATTTTTTGTTTGAGTTGCCCCACATTTGTTTCTTTTTTTGTACGCTAATTAGAACCAAGGGAAAAGAAATGCATATTGCATTACGTAGAAAACAAAATTTACATCCTGCTGCATATATAAAAACTATACAATTTTTTACTTTTCATTCATGATTTTCAATTTTACTGAAAAAGTTTGAAAATTTCATAAATATTTTCAAACTGTCAAAATTAATTTATTTTCGATAAATACTCTCAATTGTTAGGGATGGGACAAATTTATTGGTTATTCAGAGAGTGATTCGAATTGAACAACGTACAAAAGTCGGTGTTCGCTCAGACAATTTTGTATGGGGAACTAAGTAATTCCTTAATAATTAAGGGTCGAACAACGAATGAGAGAGCGAACAACGCTCGTCTGGACATGGCATTAGTGGTAAATTGTGAATTGTGTTGGAAAACATTACCACAGGTAGGAACAAAAAAGTACGAAAAGGTACCTAAAATTCTACTTCAAATGATAATAAATCATAATTATCGAGAAATATTGGCCAATATTTATACCATTTATTTGCATAAATAATATATGTTATAATTTAAGCGTAAATGTATTCACGAATAATAAAAAATCTAATTTTTGTTTTGGTACGTTTATGTCAATTCGTACCTTTTGTGAACAAAAAGTACGCTTGTTACAAAATTAAAAATAGCGCAACTCTAATTACACTCTCAAGAGAGAGAAACTCTCAACACCGATCCCGATCCCGACAAATATAAAACCACGCTATCTCTCCTTTATAATTTTGAAAATATTTAAAACAGTAGTGCGATTCTGTAACAGTTTTTGCTGTTACCGACCAATATCGATAAAATTTAAACATATATTTGGTCTGTTCCCGTACTGGAAGAATCTACTAGATTTAACTATTTTCTTCGATAGCATAAGGGAAAATTCGTTATCGTAGTAAAAAGTAGTAGATTCTTGCAGTACGGGGACAAACCAATTATTGTACGTTTAAATAAAAAATTATGTTAACATTTTTATTTTTGTGAAGGTTAGGCTTAGCGAAGTGGTCGAATTTTAATTTTAAATAATTCGGTTTCTGAGTATTTATCGTAATTTCAACAGAATGGTTATATGGTCTGCGGGGTATATTTATGGTATATTCCCGTACTGCAATAATCTACTCGATTTTCTTCGATATCATAAAGGAAAATTCGTTATGGTAGTAAAAAATAGTAGATTCTTGCAGTACGGGAACAGACCATAAAATATATCGCCATCTTATGGTGTGTTTGGTTCAACACTCCCATCTCCGTAATATAAACAATAATCGATTATTGTTTAAATTTATACAAAAAGTCGATTAGTCGAAAGACGATTTACTGATCCCTACTTTTAATCTTCATTGTGATACCGGCACACGACTGACATCTCGTTTTCACTCGAAGTCATACAGAAATTGCTCCGATATGTGGAAGTTTTTAATATTAATTTGCCTATTAGTTCATAATGGCAATTCAGTTCTACAATCAAATGCTGATACACTAGTTTTACTAGACAATTTGGCAATACGCGAAACACATTCCATGTTCTTTAAATCCCTTCAAGGTAGGTGTGGTGGTGTCGAAAATGGTTTACTGCAACAGTGACGTGGTAATATTTTGAAATATACATATCTCCTCTTCTTCTTCTTCTTATCACCAATTTAGATCGAGGATTTAAATTGACATACAAATTGGCTGATGATTCCGGATTGCTGTTGTCACGTTATGGCGAATATTTGTACAAAAACTTGATCATTTTTGCACCTAGCGTTGAAGAGTTTGGTGGCGAAATTAGCGTTGAAAAATTGGCTCAATTTGTTGATGATGGCGGCAATGTTCTTGTGGCCGGTAGTGAACAATCTGGAGATGCTTTGAGAGAATTTGCCTCGGAATGTGGTTTTGAAATAGACGAAGAAGGTGCTTCGGTTATGGATCATTTGCATTACGACATCTCGGATAAGGGTGACCATACGACCATCCTCACAGCTTCAAAGAATTTAATAAATTCGCGTACCATTGTTGGTAACAGTCGTGATGATGTCAAGCGACCATTGGTGTACAAGGGTACCGGTCTATTGGCGGACAAGGAAAACTCCTTGGTTTTACAATTGTTGACTGCCGAAAGTACGGCATACAGTTACAACCCCGAACAAGCCATTAAAGATTATCCACATGCTGTTGGTCGCAATACTTTGTTGATTGCCGCATTGCAGGCTAGAAATAATGCCCGAGTGGTTTTCTCCGGTTCTTTGTACTTCTTCTCCGACGATGCCTTTACCAATTCTGTAACCTATGCCCAATCGGGTGAGAGCTTTAAACAATCTGGCAACCGCGATGTGGCCAATGCTATTAGCAAGTGGGTGTTTGGAGAAACTGGTGCTCTACGCGTGGCCGCCGTTAAACATCATCGTGAAGGTGAGACCCAGCCACCAGCAGAAGCATATACCATTACCGATCCCGTTGTTTATTCCATAACAATCGAAGAATTGATTGAAGACAAATGGCAGCCATTCAATGCCAACGATGTACAATTGGAATTTGTGCGCATCGATCCATTTGTACGCACCACATTGAAGCATATTGGCGGCGGTACATATCAAGCTAAATTCAAAATACCCGATGTCTATGGTGTGTATCAGTTCAAGGTGAACTATGATCGCATTGGCTACACCCAGTTGTATGATACAACTCAGGTGTCAGTGCGTCCATTGGAACATACCCAATACGAGCGGTTTATTCCGAGCGCTTTCCCCTATTACTGCAGTGCATTCTCAATGATGGTGGGAGTATTTCTGTTCTCCTTTGTATTTTTACACTTTAAAGATGAGAGCACACCCGTAGCAGGTGGCGGTGCTGCAACCAAAAAGGGTGAAAGCAAGAAGAGTCAATAAGTATGCATACGAAGAATACTAATTTCAAGTAATTTAAAGCATAAATCACTTTTATTTGTGAAGTTGAAGTAATGAATATGCATTTCAAATAAAGTTTTTGTAGAAGATAACATGTTTGTTGGGATTCATTTTTAAATGTAAATAGTCAAAATCGAATTTTGATTCAAAATGATATAGGGAAAAAAGCAAAAAGTGGGAGAATCGAAAATCGAGATAGACCTATGGTTTCTTCACCAGCGTTGCTTAGAATTGTCCATACGGGCTGGATTTGATCGAATTGGCCCCATATATATATATATATATAAAACATTACCACATATAAAAAATACATTCTGTTTTTTGTTCATCTTATAAAAGCAATTTTGTATTTTAACTAAAAATTGGTGTATATAAATTATGCATATTTCTCTTAATTAATTGGTTTTTTGTTTTGTTTTTAATGTTCGTAGGGATAGTGTTAAGTATGTATGACGTATGATTTGTTGGTTGATTTCTTGTGGTTCATTTTTTGTTATTAATGTTGAATGTGCCATATCGTAGCAGTGATTTGTTGTTGTTTGCAGATCATTTTCATCATCGTCGCTTATCAAATACTTGGTTTGTTGGTTGGTTGATTGGTTGTTAGTAAAAAGTTGTTGTTATTGGTTAGCAAGAACAGTGTCTTTATTTGGTTTGTTACAACTGTGCGCCAATTGCCAGCCATTGGACACGCACGCACACACTTAAATACATATAGACGCGCACATACACACGGAGGATTAACAATGTCACAGCAGTGCAGCATTGGCTAAGTTAGTTTTTTTTAAGTTTCGACAGTCACAGTTGTAGAGCAAACGAACGTACAAACGAAAGTAAAGTTTGTTGGGTTTTTAAGAACAACAGCTTTTATAGGCTGGGGCTTTTTCGTTATTCCTGCGATCGATGACCACTCTTTCAGGATTTTCGGCAGATTCTCGTCCGGCGGTTTTATCCAAAATTGCTTCAGCTAATTCGCAGAATGCATTTTCAATGTTGATATTTGATTTGGCTGAGGTTTCCTTGAAGCGGATGCCATGTTCGCGGGCAATCTTAAAAAGAAGAGAAAAAGGTATAAAGTATATACAGCAAGAAAAAACATGAAATAAAAAAATTTTGGTTGAGGTTACCAAAAGTAGAAGGATAGCGTATTACAAACAATATTCCAACAAATCCACGCTAAAAAATGCAGCATGTATTTAAAAAATCTAACATTACCGCTTACACATTCACCAATATTCTAGCAAAAAATTGTTTAAAAACTAATTTTTAAAAAATCCACCCCTTCCACTTATTCTAGAAAAAAATAATTTTTAAAAAATTCACGCTTTCCACTTACTCTAAAAAAAAAATAATTTTTAAAAAATCCAATTTGTAAAAATTCTAAAATAAAAGATTTTTTCATTAGCGAGACCACCCTGCCCTGGGAGGCTATCGACCAGTTGAGCACGTTGGTCAAGTACTCGACTCCTGGCTCGTCGAGCTGCTTCAGCATATACATGGATATTCCGTTAGGGACCAACGCTTTCGGCTTTCACTCATCGTGAACTGTGGTGGTACCGCCTTGGCTGGAAAATATCATATGTCGGTTCAAATAACTTGCACATATCTTCGGATCAGTCAATTTCGTCGTTAAATGTGACTGAGGTCCTATCATCCTTCTTATCAGAGTTCGAGAGCAACTTAACCGTTGCCCACAGTTTACTTACTCCGGTACCAATGTTGCAACTCTTCAAGTGCACCAACCATTTATTCCTCTTATGCTCCGCGACTAATCTGCTGACCTCCAACGTAAGTTCCCTGACCATGGGATCGGCTGGGTTAGATCGATGGAGCTCATAACGACCAACTGCTTCTGTTGGGAAATTAGGTCTCATTTCGGGTATTCGACCAGAAGGTATAAATCTATTAAGCGCTAGTTAGCGAACTCTCTGAATCCTTGCCAGATGACTTTCCTATTGGTTAAGAAAAGTGCGGCTAATGGAGACGGGCTGCCAGTTGACGTCATTTATCAGACCTGTAGGCCTATTCTGTAACTTTTAAAAACATTCGATATTGTTTTATTTTCTTTTGTGTTTGTAAACACAATAAATAATTAAATTGCTGTAAAAGAAACAATGTCGGAAGTTTTTAAAAAGTTACAGAATAGGCCTAATGGTGACCCAATGGTTATGTCTTGCGAACTGTGGCACTCTCCCCATATTTTGGTGGGGGCATCCTCATTTACCGTGCAAAACGTGGAGCTATCAATTTGCTCTGGTCATTACCAAGGACAGAACGCCACAACTCATGGTGGGCATTGAAATCCCCTAGCACCAGACGATTATTGCCCTCCAATATAAAATCAATGTTGGGCAAATAACGCGGTTCACACCTATTAATCGGCGAAATGTACCCGTTAAGCACCTCTACCTCGGCAATACCACACATAACTGCTATCCCCACATACATTCCATATGTGGGACACTAGAGTCAAGCTCAAGCGAGTTAGGCCTGTATTGAACAGAGTGGTGCATAAGGAATGCTAGGCCCCCACCTTTACTTCTGGTGCGATCGTTCCTCAGAACGTTGTAACTATCACAACGCCGTATGCTAAAATTTTCATTTGGCTTGCGACACAAAATATTCTTCCGATTCATGAAGTCCACTATCTCGTCTATTTTCGCTCGAAGGCCGTTGCAATTAAATTGCAGAAACGATGCCCTATGAGGGCTGGGAACAGCAACGTACGGTGTTAAATGCTGCATATTTGGTTGCTATTGAGGAGGCGGCGTTAGAGTTCCGTACTCCGACAAAGAAAATGACGTCGTAGACGAAGACACACTGGAGATTGCAACGTAATCCCTTTCGTTGTAGTCTCGCAACCGGGCCAACCCAACACTGACCTGTGGTGAATAATGTTCTGGCAAACCACGGTCCGGGTTTTCGAACGATCCCGGCACGGACCAAGAGAACCCGTAGCAAGCATTCTGGGATATGTTGCTTCACAAAACAGAAAAGCAATACAAACATATATAACTGGAGTGGCAGCCGCTGGACGAAATGAATCGGATCAATCCGGTATCCGGGGGATTGGATTTATAGTGTATGGAACCCTTAATGCTTACAAGAACAATACATAAACACAATTTCTACAAAGTTCTCCTCCAACATTTTTGTTCAAGATTATACCATGCTTAGACGTAATGTCGGCAAATAATAGAATTTACCAAAAAAAGAAATATTGATAAGGAATATTGCTTGCCTCGCATTCGTGTGTTTGCCATTTTTTAAATTGATGACTAAAAAAATATGATACATTTTTTATATCAACGTTTACTAATCATAACAACTTACCGCCTCACCACGTTCTTTACTAACAACACGCTTATCTGTCATATCGCATTTATTGCCCAATATCATTTTTTCCACGTCCTCATTTGCATGCTATTAAAAATATAGAAAAGAAAAAGGAATGAAATGCGTTTTTGCTTTTTAATATTGAAATACGAAACCGTGTGTTTTGCTTACCTCGTCTATATTTCTTAGCCATTTGACTATGTTCTCGAAACTCTTTTCATTTGTTATATCATAGACAAGCATTATACCCATTGCGCCACGATAATATGATGTGGTGATTGTATGGAAACGCTCCTGTCCCGCAGTATCCCATATTTGCAATTTGATTTTTTTGCCCCTGAGTTCAACGGTTTTTATTTTAAAATCAATTCCTGCAAAAAGAAAAATTGATGATAAGACAAATTTATTTATATGCAATATATATAATAATAATTATAGCATATTCAGTGGTGCACAGAATCTGATTCCCAATTTGTTATTTTCCAATATTTAATTTATCCATTTTCTAGTTAATTTAAAACTCATGGTTTTCATTAAAAACTATTCTTCTTCTTGTTCGTGTATTCTGTGCAATATACACTTGTTATACCTCACATTATTTTCGTTAGGTACCCTGTATGTTTGTGTGGGTATGTATGTAGATCAACGCCAATGTTTATACAACAACATTAACAATCAGCTGCACGATATTGTTTAATTAAAATATTTACACTATTAAAATAAATAAGGAAAGATATTGCACAGCAACCTGGCAACCCCATTTTCTAGATAGGGGTTTATTAAAACATCGAATGCGTCATTTCTTTTTTTTATTTTATGTAATTAATTAACTACGATGTTGATCCACCATTCGACTTGAAGAGCAATGTCCACTCGACCATTTACTTCTCCTCCTGCCTCTGCACATCCCATGAGACAATGAACAAAAATAGAACAACAATGCGTGCAAAAGGAAAAAAAGACGGACGGACGGAAGGAAAACAAGTGGGGTATGTGTGGTGTTTTCCACCAACTCAATCATCATCATCAACACCGTCGTCATCATATGCATGTAGGTATATACAATGTCATATATATATTTTGTGTGTATTTATATATAGGATGACAAATAAATGTCAAAAAATGTAACAGGACAAAGGGAGTAGAGAAGAGTGGAAAAAAGCAAAGAACGAAGAATGTGACACCCATATAGACATTAATAACTTAGCAATTTTTCTTCCACAATACACAATAAAATCTATGCTTCCTTTTGCCAATACCAACAACACCACGCCCTTTTGAGTAGGCACAGATAGATGCCTTTTTTTAAAGAACACCGGTTGAACCTCTACAATTAATGAACCTCATCAACATTGGAACTTGGACTTAAGCCGGTTAAATCATGACTGCATCACAACAACAACACTTACCAATGGTCGATATAAATGTGGAGGTGAACGCATCGTCAGAGAATCGGAACAGTATACAAGTTTTTCCAACACCTGAGTCGCCGATTAGCAACAGTTTAAACAAAAGATCGTAGGTTTTCTTGGCCATTGTTAAGTAGTTTTTTGCAATAGATGTGCTATTTTCCTAAATAGTATCGATTCTCTTTATTTATTTATTTTTTTGGGGGAAGAGGTTAAATTCTTATTTTGCGATGTTTCTTTATTATGCTACGTTATTTTTTGGAGTTGATTTTCTATAGGTTTGTTTTTTTCTTTTCTCTCAATAGGGTTCTGTCATGCCGTTTTCGTGCGATAATAGCAGTATATCGATTATTTAGCAGGTTACATATCAAAATCGGATGTTTGTCATTGTATTAGGTATCATGGCTACACATTAATATTTTTTGTGTCAACATTTTGAAATTTAAAAAGAAAAGAAAAATGCTTTTTGGTACAAATGGTATGTCAATTAAACCACCAACCCTAATGGAAAGGATAATGTATTTTTTGTAATATTACCCTTTCCATTAGCTTTTTTAAAGTTGAAACCATGAAACAATTGGTCTGTTCCCATACTGCAAAGATCTACAATTTTTTCGATGTCATAAGGGAAAAAAGTGTAAACCAGTAAGGAAAGTTCAAAAGTCGGACGGGCCTGACTATATGATACCCTTCACTACTTTGGGTACATACAAGAGATGCTCATATGTACCATATCCTATAGATAGAATAGACATAGCATCTTCGGAGGATCATTGAAATGGAATCGGACGAAATTAACTGCGTGAAGTTAATAGATATTTGAACTATGTTAAAACAACCCATATACATACCAATCTGCAAGTCATGAAAAATTGAATGTCGATCATCGAGCAAAGTATTTTGTAAAGAAGCTATTAATAGCTTCTGGGAAGAATATCCCAACAAAAAACTAAGGGAACTGATGAGGATCACTGGCGAGATACGAAACTATAGTCTTCCCTGCCTTACCCCTCGGCGGACAATGCCATGCATTCCCCACTAATAAATATTTGTTTTTTATAAAAACAACAAACTGGGATTAAGCCTGACTATTTTGCTAAAACAAAATACAAATGGTATCCCAAATAACCCGCCAACACTACTTTATGTGTAAGATCTATTTATAAATGGACGTATTTGAGCTACCAAGGCATCCACCAGTTGGTAAGTTGCAACACAGTGCGCTATCCAAAACTTATATCGACACAAAATCCAATACACGTTATTCTACGTTCGATTTGGTACGTTGTGCACTAATTCGTCCTAAGCGTACAAACTTTAGTTGTTTGGTACATCATTTTGATGAAATCGGATGAAAATATATATGGAAACGCCTTCAATCCAATACGATGATCCATTTACATAAAGTCGGCCGAAAATATATATGGGAGCTATATCTAAATCTGAACATACCAAAAACTTACATATGGTCTGTTCCAGAAACTGCAAGAATGTAAATTTTTTTTTTTACTACGATAACAATTTTTCCTTTATGATATCGAAGAAAATAGTAAAATCTAGTAGATTCTTGCTGTACGGGAACAGACCAATACATACATCAATTCTAATTCAGTAAGATGTGCAAAATGTTATCTTAATCGGACAAATATTGACAGTATGGTGCTTCATATACACAAAATCAAAATATATATGGGAGGAAACGATATATGGGAGCTATATCAAAATCTGAACCTATTCCTACAAAACTTCGCATACTTCAATCAAAACCTAATTCAGTACACTGTGCAAAATGCTGTCTCAATCGGACCAACTTTGGCAGAATGGTTCCCCTTTTACATAAAATCAGACGAAAATATATATGGGAGCTAAATCTAAATCTGAACCGATTTCAACTAAACTTCGCATACATAAATTTGAACCTAATTCAGTACGCTATGTTGTTGTTGTTTGTGCCAATCGGCTTAAATTTGACTCGTTGGTGCTCCATTTACATAAAATCGGACGAAACTATATATGGTACAGACAGACATGCATAAATCGACTCAAATGGAACCATTCCTTTTGCCTTTTACAAACATATGCACGATGAAATAATACCCTGTACCGCAGTGTGGTGATCGGTATACAAATAGTAGATTGTTGCTGTACGTGTACTATCCAAATATTAAGATAAAACTAGTTGTTCCCGTACTGCAAGAATCTACTAGATTTCACTACCACTTTTCAGTGGCAACTTATATATTTTTGCATATTTTTGTGTTTGCCTGATAAACAGTAACAAAATTGTGCAAGAGTGTGCTAGTGTGTACACCGCTTAACGAAGTATCCATATCTTTCTTCATTGTTTTCTAATATTCCCTTTCATATTCTTACAGTGTATAAACATACAACAAAATATCGATAATACCCAACTAAACATATCGCTTTACAGGCTATCGATTTCACAGCCATTGTGTGTGCTATCGTTTTTATTATAATCTCTAACAAGAGCGTGAATTTTTTATTTAGTGAACAGAGAAAGGAGAAAAGAATAATTAATGCAATAAATAAATTAAATTCTGTAAAACATTTGGCATATAAATTTTGTAATACGCTATTTTATTAATGCATAACGTCATTTTCAATGCTTGCGACATTAAATATCTTGAATAAAATCCCACATTCCTCCCGTTGATAACTTTTTTTACATACAGAGAAGAAAAATCATCATCATCTATTATATGTGAGAGAGAGTGCAAAAAAAAAACCAAAACGAAAGAAGAAAAGAAAAAAAAAAAGAATTGACATGATTTTTTTACGAATGAAATTTAAGAATGCGATGTGTGTGCTATAACTACTGATGAGTGTGTATTAAAATTGTTAATAGCAAAAACAATAACAAATTAACAGGACGTGGTCCGTAATGTAAAAGAAAAAAAAAAACAAAAATATATCGAAAAGAAACCTGGTTGACTGACAACCAGCCAACCAACCATCTGAGGGAGGAGGACGACGACGGGAGAAGCAAGCATAGAAAGAAAAAAGCGAAGGTGTTGATTTCGATTCGACTGGCTGTCACAAAATCTTAAATCTATTGAACCCACCCTTGCAAAGCAAAAAAGAAGAAGAGAATGCAAGAACGAAAAAATATATAGTGCAGCAAATGTATAAATGTACGACGGCCGACAGACAAACAAACAACGAAAACAAAACAAGAAAAAGCTTGCCAAGAACAAGTAGTTAGTAGTAGTAACTTAATTCTCAAATTTAGAAGAAAAGAAAATAAGAAACGAACGAATAACAACAAAACACTAATGAACATGAACATGTGTGCCTTCTTTGTGGGAATCGATTGACACAAGAGTGTGGAAAAAAGTATGCAAATGACAAAATAAGCCGCAGCAGTAACTTCCAAAAGGTCTTCCTACTTTGCTGCGCATAAATATACTATACGGCATTTGTTGTTGTCATTGTCGTCGTCGCATGTATGGACATGAAATAAGTCATCATCGTCATCATTAGAACTCTCTATGATATATTCCATATTTTATAATTTGTATGTTCCATAGAAACTGATATCATATTGGCTGCTGTCGCTACTGGTCGGTCGGTCAACACACAATTGCACATTGCAGCCAGTTGAAAAAAAACATCCAAATAAGGTTTTCCCCAGTATTTGTCTATAACTAATAATACAACAACAAAACCAATAATATGTGCAAGTGTAAAATTGTGCAAAAGTCTCCAATCAGCCAATAAATAATTTTTATCATACAAACATACATATTTACAAATAAATAAAAAAACAGAGCCAATAGAACAAAAACGCTATTGTCGATTTCTCCAACAACAACAACAAAGCAAAACTCAAACTGCTGTGTATATTTTTGTGTGTTCATTCATTCATTTGTTTCTATGTATGTATGTTGTGTGATTGATCCTTCAACCGGGTATTTGAACAGCGATTCCAAAATAGTAGAATTTTAAATTTTGACTGCAGCTTACGAAAAAAATTACAGCCAAACAACCAGTGTAACGAAGAGCGCCGCATAGCTCATTTATATTGAACAATAAACAATCAAAATTTCCAATACAATGGATAGCTCGAGTGCCGTTGGACGGCGCCGTGTTAATTCTCGTGTAAATGCAGAGGATCAGGCATTGGATCAAATTGCTAAAGAGGTAAGTAAATTTGTTTACATACAGGGTGAGATAAAAAAACCGCGCAACAAAGTCAAACGCCAAAATTTTTAAATTTTATTTTAAATTTTATTGAATGAAATCAAAAATGTCGGAAATAGCATCAAACTTTAGAATAAGTTTAGATTTGTTCGAATTGGTCACCTTTGGCACGAATTATGGCCAATGAAACCGTCACACGCTGCACGAATGTTGCTCTGCCCTATTTTGACCTATTCCCGGCGAAGCGCTTGCTTAAGGTGATCGACACTTTGCTATTTTTAGTGCCAACCTTGCTTTCCAAAATACTCCAGACACAATAGTCCAACGGATTGGTATCCAGAGATTTTGGTGGCCATTGTGCGCTGGAAATGAAGTGAGGAACCTCATTTTGTAACCATTCTTGGGTGGCGCGTGCTGAGTGCAAAGGTGCTGAGTCCTGTTGGAATGTCCAAGGTCTGCAGCCAAAATATTTGCATGCCCAAGGCTTTAATACACCCCCCGAAATTTGTTCACGATAATATTCGGCCTTTATTCTGATGCCACGGTTAATTAATACGAACGGAGAGCGACCATCGGTTGTTATGGCGGCCTACACCATGGTCGGCGCTTGAATTCTGGTGGCCAACCGGATGTCCACATCTGCAGCTGATCTCTTTGGCAAGTAAACACGATCATTTTGTTTCTTTACAAACTGCTGGACAACGATTTTTCCTCATCAGAGAAATCCAAATTCGGCAGTTGAGCTCTTTCGGCCAAGCGAAGCAACTCTTTGCCAATTTTGAGTCTATTTTCTTTCTCTTGCTCTTTTTGGAATTTCAATGGCTTACCTCATTGTTCAGCTCACGGGCCATTTTTCGGCCACTGCAACGCGGATTTCGATCAAGTAGTTTATTTACTTTTATTTATTTATTTATTATTTTCGAACCATTTCTGCAGATGTTGCTGTTTTCTTCCGTCCAATTCCTTGACGTCTACGCTACCTGTATCATGGTAACGAGCGATGGTACGTGGTTTTCCAGCCATCACGAATAATTTTTTTCTGGAGAATTCTCACCAAAAGGCTTTTGTATGCTTGTAAAAAATATATAATAATCTGTCACAGGAGGTATCAGAAAGAGTGGACCGATGGGTCCCATTTTCGGACTTTATCAAGGCTTGGTAATGATAATAGGTTATAAAAAATTTGGTTCAAAGCGGATAGACCGACCGTTCGCATGATATTATAAAATAAATTTGCACAATTTTGACCATTTTGTGTGCTTTGCAAAATATTTAAGCTTTGCAAAATATTTAAAATAGTGCTTTGAAGTTTGACATTCATGTTGGCTACTATCCTAGAGATATGGCTTATGTATTTGTGTAGCATATAATTTTGGAAATCGAGCTAAAAACTTGAAACTTGGAATGTGCCCAAATATAACGATATCCCCAATATGCAAGGATTTTGGAAAATCAGAAGTCATTTTGTGTGGGTTTGTGTCCATTCAGGTGACAGATAAGGCTGAGTTTTTTGAAAATTTACTCTAAATACCGAAATGTGTGGAGGTATAGTCATATGGTAGCTGCCATTATTTGAAATGAGGGTCACAGATGAAATGTAGAATATATATAGCTAAGGTTTTTTGTTATTTGACCTATTTAAAGAACTTTGGAAGAATTTCTGCTATTCATGAATATGTTATATTTACAGAAAACCATACGAACCTCCAGGAAATGCTTGAAAGAATGCCTTCTATGTAAGAGAAAGTTGTACGCTATTTTTTATTATTTCTAAAGAACATTTAGATCTAAAAGTGTGTTTTTTATACCGTACACCACACTGTGGCACAGGGTATTATGTTTTTGTGCATATGTTTGTAACAGGCAAAAGGAATCGAGATAGACCAATGGTTCGTCTTGAAAATATGCATAAAATCACTTTCTAAGTCGATTTATGCATGTCCGTCTGTCCATCCGTCCATGTATTTTTGTGAACAAAGTACAGGTCGCATTTATGATATGAAATTGTGATTTGGATGAAACGAACCCTTATGAAATTGGAGAAAATCGGTTCAGATTTAGATATAGCTCCCATATATAGTTTCGTCCGATTTTATGTAAATGGTACAACAAACTCCCAAAATTGATCCGATTGAGACAAAATTTAGCACAGTGTATTGATTAGGTCCATATTGATGTATGCGAAGTTTTGTTAAAATCGGATCATAGATATAGCTCCCATATATAGTTTCGTTCGATTTTATGTAAATGTTGCACCATACGGCCAATGTATATAGCTCCCTCATATATATTCATCCGAAATTCATGAAAATGATGTAGAATAACGTGTATTGGATTTGGTGTCGCGATTAATTTTGAATAGCGCACTGTGTTGCAACATACCAAATGGTGGATGCTACGGTTGCTCAAATACGTCCAGTTAATTTCGTACGATTCTTTTTCAATGGTCCTCTAAAGATGATATGTCTATTCTATCTAAATGATATTGTACATATGAGCATCTCTTGCATGTACCCAAAGTGGTGAAGGGTATCCGACCGACTTCTGAACTTTTCTTATCGGTTTTAATATGCTACTGGGCGTTTTTCCAAATCTTCAGAGCAAAACATTTTTAGGAATATCTTTAATCGTCTCCTATTCTTGGCTTCTTAAGCGAATATGCTGTCATTTTTGTATCCTACAACACACTGAGTTATAGTGTTTTGGGTCTTTTCCATAACAGTGGGGTCTAAACAGCCACTTGATACCATTGTGTGAAACAATAAGGCTGCTACACCGACAAGGAAACGAAATAAATCCAATTATACATTTGAAGATAAACTTAGAATCCCTTTTATTATGTCTAAGGGTTTTAGGAAACAAAATACATTTATTATCCAACCATGGCCCCTTTTATTTGACACGAAGGTCCTTGGTCTGTAAAACTCTGACAACAACTGACATAAATATTCTTGATATATATAATTTGAATCGTGCACCAACGACTCGACATTAGTCAAAAATTGACGATGACTCCTAAAGGCGAGAGCTACCTTCTGGAATGTCTTATTACCAGATACTTAACATTTGCTTTCATTTACAAGTGATGATATTTGATTTTGGTAGGACATGTGGATGTCATTTTATAATGTAATCTTTTCGATAACTTGGTTTAATATCGACTACTGAAACTTATCCAACACAGGTCACTTGGACAAATGTATGTTTTCATAAATGTATTGACCTCTATTCCGATAACGATCACTAGTGTAAATATGGTATACAACTTGTGTATTTCTTACAAGCAGGCAAACGCAAATTACTTGACACATATTATTTACCTAAGATTTGTAATTTAATCTGTATTTGGTAACTCCTCCTCTAATAGTAGTAGGTATCAAATTGCAATTTACATCTTTATCTAATATTTTGCTGAATATGACGAATGTTGTTATTCTTCGTACCTGTCTTTTTGTAAGTTAATAAAGAAGAATGTAATAACATTGTAAATTAAATCATCTGTTTTCGACAGACGTTACTCTCTTAAGTTAACCACACTATTTGGGAGAATGAGTTTTAATTTATTTCAATGGTGGGCAAAATTACTCTTAAAAATTGTTAAGAGAAAATAAAAACCATGATTATTCTGCGGAATTTAATTAATTTAATATTTTTTAAATATAAACAAGATCTCTTAAGTTCAAAAAATAAATTCACTAAAAAAATTGCGGACAATTTTTTATTAAGGTTTATTTTTGTTTTGACATCACAAAATGAAAAGAGAACGCATCAACGCTGGTGTGCATGTCTGCCCAACTATGATTTATTTACAGATAGAGAGAGATGGAGAGGAAAATAATACCTCATTTAAAATTTGATGGTTAACAATTCTTGTTGTTTTATCTGTGTTAATAAACAAATATAACAATTCTTCAATATATGAATAATGTGTAGGCAGGTACAAAGAGAATTGTTTTCTTTTTTATAATTGGAAAATACAGAGAGTTGTGGTTAGCAGAGTAACTATCGTCTCTTCTTGTGATCGCTCCCTCTCTGTGGGGTTTTTGTGGACTTTAAAAGAGAGCCGGTTTGGTTGGTTGCCTGCTTGTGTTCGCTTGATCACTCAGTCAGCCAGCCAGCCTGCTTTCAGTTAACGGACAAGAAACAATGAGTAAGCGCGCACTCAGCGCACAAATTGTGGTCAAGAAGTGAATTCAAAAACAATCCGTACTTTAAAATAAATATCCAGAAAAAAGCGAGTTTGTTTTATTTATTACTTCGGCAATTCCCCTCTAAATTTGTTTATTTCCACATTTAACAACGATAGACACAACAAAAACACACGCACACACACCGCATACAACAAATGTATGTAAATTTTAACGCGGATCAGAGCGACTTAAAGTGTGATTACGTAGACAACACAAACGAAAACGCGTGTGTAAAAGAAGTAGAAAAAAAAAACGAAATACTTATCCAATTTGAAAAAAAATATATAGATATATATCCACGATAGAGAGAGTTTGAAAAATACCCTTGAGGAATATGTCGGGGAAACAGCAGTCAACAAACCAAAAGTCCACCAATGACAACCTTGTCAGCAGTAGTGCGAAAACAAATAAAAATACACAGAAAAGTAAAAAAGTGATTAATAAGAAAAGTTTAAAGGCAAAACTGCAATCCAAATCCACTAAAAACAGCAATTGTAATAACAACAACAATAAAACTAACAACAACAACGATGTCAATGAGAAAAATGTAAACGACGGCGGCGATGAAGTCATCGAGGAGTTTGATTTTTGTGATAGTGATTTGGCTGAATTGGATGCGGCAACGGCTGCAGTTACAGCTGATGCATCCATAATTGCTGTCAATGGTGAAGATAATAAGAATGACCAAGATTTGCTAATCGAGGAATGTGAGGAAGCCAAAGAAACAAAGGGGGGAGGAGAAGGCCAGAATGAAGAGCCACCGACCGCTGTTGTTATCGATAATGAAGAAGAACAGGTGGAAGAGACGGCGGCGGAATTCATTGATAACAACAATGATAAACACGAACTGTTGGCTTCAACAACAACACCAATAACAGAAATTAGGGAGTCACCACCATTGCTGACTAAGCACACCAATAATGTATGTGCAGAAACCGAAGAAGAAGAAGCCGCAGCAACAGCAAAAGAAAAAATTAGCAACATGGTTGCAAATCCAAGTGAAGACACCACCACCATTGCCGCAGCCGAAAAAATCCAAACAACTGAAATGTCAACGCCAACACAACATGTCAGCAGCTCCTCGAGTTCAGTGGTCCCTTCCCCACCAGACGAAGGGAAGACAACGACGACGACTACACAAAGTAACAATGCTGATGATGATTATGATGACAATGGTTCCGCCGCCGACGATTACATTGATGATGGACTTTTGGTTCAATTTCTTGATGAAGCAAATAATATTGTAAGCAAAATCATTCATCTCCCATCCATTGTTATATTTATTATTATGATTGTCGTCGCACACACACACACACAATAGCTTTTTTCTTATTACAAAAATCTAGAGTTCACATTAAGTGTTGTGTCCCCTCATATTATGGAAAGGGCATTTTCCTCTTGTGGTAGAAAGTAGAATTTGTGGGAAATTTAATTATATATTTTATTATTTCTTATCTTTTATGAAAATGTGTGTGCTTTTGAGACGTATGTATTTGGAGTGGGAATGTTTTTTTTATTTCTATGGATTTGTTCCATAAATTTGTGCTACGCTTTTAATGTGCAAGAGAGAAGGGTTCCTATAAATGTACCTTCAATATTTTGTTTTACTTACAAGTTTTCCAATGCAAAAATGCACAGGCATCGATCAAAGTTTGGTAGCTTTTTTGGATAACTATTTTAATATAAAAAAGGGGGTCATATGGGGACTTCCCCTGAAAAGGGGCGAATGTTAATAATTTTTGGGAGGGAGATTTGTTACCATATACGCCTAAAAACACATTACAAAGAATTTGGTTGAAAAACTCGTTCAAAAACCCACAAATACCGAAAATTGGGGCGTACCCTTATATGGGGGCTACCCGAAAAATTGACCTATATTTATAATTTTTAAGAACTTAAAGTACTAAATTACAGCCAATTCGGTCGAAAAATACTATCAGAACCCCCAAAATACCGAAAAATTGGGGGTACCGTTATATGGGGACTACAAGAAAAAGTGGACCTATATTTATAATTATTAGTGGAGTAATTTGGTACCGAACCTAATGTACCAAATTCAGTTATAAAACACCAAAATACGAAAAATTTGTTGGTATTATATGGGCGTTTTCCAAAAAAATTGACCTATATTTATAATTTTTAGTGGGTAGATATGCTACCCAATAAGAACTCAAAATACTAAATTACAGCCAATTCAGCCCTCCTATTACCGAAAATTAGGGGAACCCTCATATTTGGCGCTATACGAGAAAATGGACCTATATTTATAATTTTTAGTGGTAAGATTTGATACCCAATAAGAACTCAAAGTACCAAATTTCAGCAAACTCGGTTGAAAAACGAACTCAAGAACCTCAAAATACCGAAAATTGGGGGGTACACTTATATGGGAGCTATGCCTAAATGTGAACCGATATAGTCCATCTTCGAACTTGACCTGCCTGCAGACAAAAGACGACTTTATGCAAAATTTTGGCGATCTATTAATTCTTAATTCGTTTAGACGGTTGGAAAAAGAGCTCAAGAACCTCAAAATACCTCGTTTAGACCTTAGAGTGATTACGACAAGCAGACCATAGAATTTGCTTCGATCATAGAATATATATATATACATATATATGGGGTCGGAAGTGGTTATTCCAATGAGTTACAAACGGAAAAATTAATATACCCTCCGTACTATGGTGGAGGGTATAAAAAAGGTTCAGTCGGTGTTGCCAACATAAATATACAAATGAGTCCCATATTCGAACATTCCATTCGCCTGAATTTATAGATATTGAAATTTATAAATATCGAAAATTTTGACCCATGATGGGGGAGGTACCAAAAGGAGTGGACCATTGGGTCCCATCTTTCTACTTTATCAAGGGATTGTAAATATAATAGGTTGTGCAATGTTTGGTTAAAATCGGATAGTCCGTTCGCATGATATTATAAAATTATTTTGTTCTAAATTTTGACCATTTTATGGGGGAGGTACCAGAAGGAGTGGACCAATATTCCCCATTTTCAAACGTGAACTAAGTTTAGAAGAAATATTAAGATGTGCAAAGTTTGGATGAAATCGATTACTCCCTTCGAGAGTTGTCTTGCGCACCAGCCGGTTAGACGTTAGACGGACGAGCGGACATTTGTAAATCGACTCCAAATATTCTGAAACCGATTTGGTCCAAAGAAACATGGGGTCTAAAATCAATATTTCGATTTTCACCGTATCAAAGTGTAAATATTCTCATTAGTCATTAAAACGGAGAGTAGACTACTTTCCCCTACAAGTCTCTCCATATTGAAAAAATCAACCCCTTGCTATTTCGAAAATATTTTTCCCTCTGCTAAAAATTTATCATTTCCAATAAAAAAAGCACGTACAATGAATTTATTTGTTTGTATTAGAAAATAAACAATTCGCATTAGAACGCAAAAAAAAAATTACGCTTAAACTCAAGATAAAGATTTTGTCGTTTCGTTTCTTCAGCGTACTACTTGTTGACAAAAAGCAATTTGCTCAAAATGTATGTCGTATTCGAAGTCTGTTATTTTTGTTGTTGTTTGTTTGCATTTGTTTTTATCAGCAAAACTTTATTGTGTAGAGTTCACAATAAATTAATTATGTACAGTTAGCGTCGACACTCTCTGATGGGGTATATAGATGATCTAAAACAATGGAGGGGGTTAACTTATCCTGAAGGTTCTTTTATTTTTAAATGAAGTCATCATATTCATAATTCATATTTGGAAATTATATTTGTCTTTTTTATATTTCTTGAAATTTTATTAAACGAAATTTTTGTCGATTTTTCAGTTCAGAAACCTGGCAAGAAACTATTGTTAACCTCTTTAATTTTGAGGAATATGTTTCGCTTCAATATATTCGAATATCTTTTTAAATTGTGGTGGCAAAATAATTAATTTCTCTATTTTTATTTTTTAATTCCAGGCTGAAGCAAGATTAGCTGCTCGCAGACAGGCTCGGGCTGAAGCTCGTGAAATCCGTATGCGAGAGTTGGAAAGACAACAACAGCAACAGGAGTTAAATGCCGATCGTGTATTCGATATGCATACAACAGCATCGGGCATAGATCCATTGTCACGAACAAGACTGGGCATGGGTAGTGCATCACCGGCAATTAGTGGCTTATTGAATTCTTCACGAGTTGGTAACTCAATGTCTTCAAGACGCAGCAGTGAAGATTCCCTAGAGGAGGAGGGACGCAGTTTAAGAGATATACGCCATGAACTAAAGGTAACCAAAAACCTCTCAATTTTTGCTTTTATTTATATTAGACTAATTAATTGTTATTCTTTTTCTTCTTCTTTGCCCCTCTTAATTATTATAGGATGTGGAAGAGAGATTTCGCAAGGCCATGATAGCAAATGCTCAATTAGATAATGAGCGTGCATCACAAACGTATCAAATACAATTGTTAAAAGACAAATTGGAAGATATCGAAGAATCGTATGCCCAGTTACAGCGTGAATTCAAAGAAAAATCACGTGAATGCAATTCACTGAAACGTACGCTAGATAAATTAACGGAAGAAATGAAATTGGTACAGGGCCAGCTGCAGGAAAGGGATACCCTAATTGAGGAACAGGGTTTGGTTATTGTGGCCGTTGAAAATGAGGATGGCACCGATGCCAAACGTGCTCTAGTCAGCGTAGAAAATGCACAATTATTAGGATCTGTTCAGGGTTCTTTAGGTGGGTAAAAAAATATTTATTTATTATACTCTGGTATTACCATCGCTTGAATTTTTGTCTCCGCACAGATGTACGACTTAAAAAATTCAGCGAAGAGAAACAACAATTACAGGCCGAAGTACAACAATTGCAAGAGCAATTGGAAACGTACAAAAGTCAAGGTAAAGGTCGAGGTAGAGGAAATTCCTTAAACGGTCCCTTGGGTTCAGATGATGATGACTATGAAGCTCAGCGTAAGTATCAATTGTTGCGTTGTCATATCTATTTTTGTATTATGATTATTAATTGTGTGCCCACTTTTTGTTGTTGCAGGTGAGGCCAACAAAATAATCCTCGATTATAAATATAAATTGCAAAAGGCCGAACAAGAAATTGCTAGTCTACAATCAAGTTTAGCACGTTCCGAAACTCAAGTTATACGTTATAAGAGCACCGCGGAGGCAGCTGAAAAAGCAGAAGCTGAACTTAAAATTGAACGAAGAAAATTGCAAAGAGAGGTAAATATGATCAATGATATATAAAAAAATGTTTCTGTAAAAAATCCACGAAATGCATAGAAAAGTATTCTTTAAAAAGTCAACGCATAAAGAAAGCATTGAAATTGTTTTCTTAAAACAGATCTTTAGAAAATCTAACAAAAGACAATTCTTAAAAAATTTTGCTACGCCTAGAGAATGTCCTGAAAAAATATTCTTAAAAATTGCCACGCCTATAGAAAGTCCTGGACAAAAATTCTTAAAAATTGCCACGCCTATAGAAAGTCCTGAAAAAATATTCTTAAAAATTGCCACGCCTATAGAAAGTCCTGAAAAAATATTCTTAAAAATTGCCACGCCTATAGAAAGTCTTCACCAAATATTCTTTATAATTGCCACGCCTATAGAAAGTCTTGAACAAATATTCTTTATAATTCCACGCCTATAGAAAGTCTTGACAAAATAATCTTTAAAAATTCCACGCCTATAGAAAGTCTTGACAAAATAATCTTTAAAAAATCCACGCCTATATTCTTTAAAAAATCCACGCTTATAGGAAGTCTTGACAAAATAATCTTTATAAAATCCACGCCTATAGGAAATTTTGAAAAAATATTCTTTAAAAAATCCACGCCTATAGGAAGTCTTAAAAAAATATTCTTTAAAAAATCCACGCCTATAGGAAGTCTTGAAAAAATATTCTTTAAAAAATCCACGCCTATAGAAAATGTTGAAAGAATGTTGCCTAAAAAATAATATATTTTATATGAAATCCTAATATTTTGTTTTGACCACTTTCCTTTTTATTTTCAGAATCGAGAGGCCATGGAAAAACTTGAAGAATTGGAAACGGCAAACAATCATTTAATTAAACGTTTAGATAAGTTAAAAAATGCCAAGAGTGCTCTTTTAAAGGATCTTTGACCATTGTATGGATATGAACGTATGTCTCAAATAAATGATACACCGCCGCCACAGCCGCCTAATAGTAAGGTTGACACAGAGGATTCAGGAAGTAATTCGTATACATCACCAAAGCAGCCACACAGTAGTTATAACGCCGACGATGATATCGGCAGCAATCATGGTACTACTACTACTACGAAAATCAATGGCAGTCATCATCGTAATAATGCCGCTGCCAATGGCCATTGAAGTGACTCAATGGGTCGGTCCGTGATTTTCTTGAGTTATTTTTCATTTTAGTTTTTTTCTAACATTTGTTTGTTATGCTGTTGTGTTGTTGCTCCGCTTATGATCCGTGTCAAAGTCAAGTCAGTTAGTTATGCATTAAATTCTTCCAAACTCTAAAAAATACACAAACACACACAGAGACAAACAACTGCAAGTCTAATTATTAAGAAAATAAAGTAAAAAACAAGATAAATAGGCAAAAGTAAAAATATAGACACACACTCTTTAATATATATATATAAATATATATTTATATAGTTCTCATATAAACACACACACACACACACAAACAAACTTTGGTCTTATACGCTGCACGCTCTCTGTATGCGATAAATAATAATCTATTATTATTATAAAATTACCTATGTATGTATATTTGTATACATTTATTATGTTTATTATAATACATTGTATTTGTAGTCCAAAAAACAAAACAAATTATAACATTTTTTTAATTAATATTTTATTTGTTGAAATATTTATTTTATTTTTTAACCTGAAGTAAAACTAAAAACAAAAAACTAGAAATTATTACTTAATATAAATATTAAAAAAAATAATCGCCGATCCAAAACCAAGTGACTAAATATTATAATAACAACAAAAAATAAACCTCGTGGTATATTTTAAATTGTTGGTAGGCGTTTGATTAAAGAAAAAAAAAGAACTCAAAATGCCATGAATAATAAATAAACCATAGTTGTTTTGTAAGCTGAACTTTTTTTACAAACCTAACAAATTTGCCAATCTTTTTACACCCCCACCCCCTCCATAATTGTAATTCATTATTTAAGTCTTCTTTCATTTATGGTTGCTGTTTCACATTTCATCTTTTTTTTATTCCAAAACAAGTTCTCTTTTTATAAAAAAAAAACAATTGAAAAGTACTTAAACAAATTTAGACAAAACTCTTAGTATATGTCCAGTTTTTTACTAATTAATTTCCAAGGCAAAAACAAGATCTTCACACAATTGTAAGCTAACTAAATATCATCATTGTAATATAATTTTCATTATCTTGCCATTGACATTTCTGTTTCTTTTCAACTGAATTGTACAGGACAGCTTGATCCTTTTCCCCACATAACACAGCACTTCTCCCCCCATCCAACCTACATAATTAATTATAAAACCACAAAAATAAAATCCCGTTTATATTTGTTATTCTAAAATAATTATTATATTTTGCGACGATTAACAAAAAGAAAATAAAGAAGAATAAAACAGAAAATAGAATCATTTAGTTGCTTCGCACATGTATTCTAAATTTAAACAAAAGAATTAGGAGTAAAACGAAACAAAATAATAATAATAAAAAATAAATAAACTAAAATAATCACAAAAAAATTACATGCATTTTCATTTGATGATTTGAAAATTGGGGCGGTTTTTATAGTGGATGATTTTAACAACGTTTTATTGGGGGTTGACATTTTTAAAGATTTTTTTCAAGGCTTCTAGCTTGCCCAAAAAAAGACTGAAGTTTTAAAAATTTGTATATCTTTTATTTACTGGTTTTTGGAGATAAATAATGGCTACATATTATGTGCAAAAACGCGTCAACATCATTGAATTTTCTTATTCTTCTGTATGGTCAATTATTACAACTTAACGAAATTATTTTCGTCATTTTAATGTCCGAACAGCACCAGTCCCAACATGATTAAGAATTTGGTCTCCCGTTTTGAGGAACATGGAAGAGTGTCAGATCTTCCGGGAAGTGGTCGACCAGTTGTGGAGGCTGTACGACAGAGTGTAAACGAAGATCCATCTGTCTCTACTCGTCGTTGTTGTTCTCAATTGGGAATCCCCAGAACATCTCTGCAAAGAATTTTGAAGCGGGATCTTAAAATATTTCCGTATAAAATTCAATGCCTAAAAATATTCCACGCCTATAGGAAGTCTTGAAAAATATTCTTTAAAAATTCCACGCTATGAAAAGCCTACAAAAATATTCTTAAAAAAGTTCACGGCTAAGAAAAATATTCTTTATAAATTCCACGCTAAGAAAAGCCTACAAAAATATTCTTTAAAAAGTTCACGGCTAAGAAAAATATTAATTAAAAATTCCACGCCTAAGCCTAGTAAAATATTAATTAAAAATTCCACGCCTAAGCCTAGTAAAATATTCTTTAAAAATTCCACGCCTAATTCCAGCATAGAATAAATATTCTTTAAAAATGTCACGCCTAAGAAAATCCTTAAAAAATATTATTTAAAAAATCCACGCTATAGAAGGTCTTGAAAAAAAATTCTTTAAAAAATCACTCTTTCAGACTTAAATCAAGTTTAAAGATGAGGAATAAATGGTCAGAATTTTGCTCAAAATTAGTTTTGTGATATCACTAACCGATTTAAAAACAAACTTTGCACAACCGAATATTTTTAAAAGCCATATTTATATTTTTTTACAAGCCACACCGGATGGAACTTTTCGACGCATTTCTTCTAGTACCTCCCCCAACAGAAGGGTCAAAATTTTGAAAATTTTTTAATCCAAAAAAAATATGCAATTTCTTATTTGTTATACAAAATACGCCCATCGCAATATTTCCCAGAGGTCTACTCCTTCCACTGCTCCACTCCTTTTGGTCTGTTCCAGATCCTGTAATAATTGGTCTGATCCCGCACTGCAAGATTATACTAATTTTTACTATGATAACGAATTTTCCTCAATGATATCGAAGAAAATAGTCAAATCTAGTAGATTTTTGCAGTACGGGAACAGACGATACGATAACGACAAAAATCTTTCAGAATGGCACTACTGGGGGTCTCAAAAAAGTCCAACAGAGGGACTCATAAAAGTCGGAGTGAGACGTTAATAAAAACAATCATGTATTAAGAAAATCGAAAGTCGATCATAAAAATTCGACTTTGCGATTTTCATGAGCATGATCAAAAGTTGACATCGACTTTTCAAATCAAAAAGTCGATAAATCGATTAGTTGAAAGTCGACGTACGTATCCCTATTCCGGACCGACAGAAATCGTATTTTTTTAGAGTTGGGCAATCTAGTTCACGTAGCGGATCGATCATTCTCGTTTCTTTTTTAAAAAGGAACTAGTTCCTTAATGTAGTTCCTTTGAACTATGTAATTACTTCATAATTAAGAGTCGAACCACGAATGAGAGAGGGAACAACGCTCGTCTGTACATGGCATTAGACTTTTCAATACAAAAAGTCGATTAATCGAAAGTCGATTTACTTATCCCTAATCATAATTTGCCTAAACCTCATTCGTAAACAACACGGTTTCCATTTAGTCTCTATCCCACCTCATTCGTAAACTTTCGGTTATACCATTTTGAGTTCATCTTTATCGGCCATTTTGTCTTCTCCTCCCATTCGTTAGCAGGTGGAACGTTTTTCAATTTTTTCAGTCGTCGTTTTTATTTTAGCTCCGTTCCAAAACCTAAAAGAATCTACTAATTTTACAAGTTTTGCAACTTTTTACTCGAAAACCGTTCCTGAACCCATAAAACTGGTAAAGCATTGAATCAAATTTAAGAGAGCACAAAACAAAATGGCTTTCTCTTTGTAAACTTTTTGTTATGTTGATTTTGAAGTATTGCCATCTAATTTTGGCATATTTACTAGATTTGCGTTCCCGAACTTTTCAAATTATTTTGTACTCTGAGACTTGAAATGTTTCCCTTTTACTAGCTTTACTATTAAACAAGTGAAAAAGCGTTAAGTTCGGCCGGGCCGAACTTTGGATACCCTCCACCACAGGTATACTGACAGGTATTTGAAATGAAAAAGTGGACCGATATTTATAATTTTAAATAGAGATATTTGGTACCCAATATGAACCCACTGTACCAAATTTCAGCGAATTCGGTTGAAAATCGCGCTTAAGAACCTCAAAATACCGAAAATTTGGGGTGCCCTTATATGGGGGCTACCAGAAAAAGTGGGCCGATATTTATAATTTTTAGTAGAGATATTTGGTACGCAATATGAACCCAATGTACAAAATTGCAGCGAATTCGGTTGAAAAGCGCGCTCAAGAACCCCAAAATACCGAAATTGGGGGGTACCCTTATATGGGGGATATCCGAAAAAATTGACCTATATTTAAATTTTTTTGTGGAGAGATTTGGTACCTGCTAAACTCAAAATACTAAATTACAGCCAATTCGGTGAAAAATACGATAAAAAGCCAAAAAATACTGAAAATTAGGAGGTACCGTTATATGGGGGCTACAAGAAAAAGTGGACCTATATTTATAATTTTTTGTGGATACATTTACTACAAATTCGCTTGAAAAACGCGTTGCGTACGACGTCGCTTGAGTCTTGGCAGAACGACGATTAACAAGCGAATTTTATGAAGGCTGGAGTCTTGTTCTTTTGAATCTCTCTCTCTCTTTTATTATTTTTTTTTTCGTTTTTCCATATATAGTTCCTTTGCTCCATATAGTTCCTTTGCTCTTTCTCTCTCTTTCATAGTTCCTATATAATTCTCCAAATAGTTCCTTTGCTCCATACAGTTCCTTTGCTTCAAATAGTTCAAAAAAGGAACTGGATCAGAGAAAGGAATTATATTAATTAAAGAACTGGAACTAGTTCCGTTCGTTTCTTTCTCGGAATAGTTCCAATGAACTAGTTCGTTCCGGACCGACAGAAATCGTATTTTTTTGATGAAGAACTGTTCTAGCACTTTTGTTTAAAACAATAAAAAAACAACAACAACGAAAGTCCGAACGACTACCATTGATTGTAAATTTCAAAAAAAACTTGTCAGGCAAAAAGTGTGCAAAAATCATCTGGATTGCTAAATACATACAAGGGTTTGCCAATTGTTTGGTGTGTCTGTGTGTGTGCGCGTTTTTCACTTCGGTGTTTGACTGCTGTCACGGCAGATTGATCGGAGGACAATGAATGCAACGGCGACGGCTCAAGAAGAAACAAAACCTCCAATTTTACATATTTTGGTTGTGGGTTTCCATCACAAGTTGGGATGTCAGGTTGGTAGGACACCATTGTTACATAAGCCTTTGAAAATAATTGTTTTTTTTTTCGTATGTCCTGCGGCGTAGGTGGAATTTTCATACCCCCCTCTGGTTGCTGGATCGACTGGAAAAAATGAATGTCCCAGTGGTTGGAAATATCTATCAACCTTGGCTTTGCCAGATGGTTCTCACAACTTTATCGAGGATACGGTCTTCTTTAATTTACCCAGTCTAACCGATCCCACAGAAAGTGTGTACGGTGTGTCGTGTTATCGACAAATACCGGTGGAAAAACTGAAAATTCGCACAGCCGATGTAACACGTAGTACGGTGCAAAAGTCTGTCTGCTGTCTGGCCCGATTGCCAATTTATGGCTACATAGAAGTCAAGTTGTCGCTGATTGCGGATGCTTTCTTTGAGGAGGGTGATTTTTCGAGCACGGATATTCTTGTCAAGGCATATGAACAATTGAATGCCTGTCTGCTGGACGGCGATGAATCACGTCGTGCTCTGCGTCATTTCCATGTTGGCTTATCGCTGCGTGAAATTGTTTTGAATTGGCGACACAAAACATTGCAGTTGTTGAAATTGTTTTTGTTACAACGGAAAGTGGTTTGTTTCGGATCGCCGGTGAGGGGTATGTGTGCTCTTATCTTGGGTATAGCATCGTTAATACCGCGACTGTTGGAAAAGGGTTTTCAAGAGGTGGCATGTGTGAGGACATCCCGGCCACTGTCGCCAATGCCTGATTATACGGATTCACTTATAAAATCAGAGGATTGTAAAACAAAGGGTGGCCGCAATAGCAGCAGCGATGATGTGAATGTTGAAAATACTGCAACTACAAAAGCTGGGGAAGAAGAGGGGGAGGATACTGCCGATAATGCCAGTCATGTAGATGCAGAAGAAAAGATGCGAAAATTTTCCAATGCCTCTTCGAAGAGTAGTGAAAAATCAAGTCATAAAAGTAGTTCATCGCCAACATCGGGAATTTCAGCAGGTGGTGATGCAGACACCGTCGGGTCGACATCACAGAATGATAAAAATTTGGAACGCAGCAGCTCATTTACCAAAGACAACAGTTTGGATGCATCAAGTAAAGTATTTGGTTTCGAACGTATCGTATAGCATTTTCAGAATCATTTTAAACCTTGATATGCTAGGGAAATAAGAAAACTATTAAGTATTAAATTTTCCTTACCATAGTATTTTAAACCAATGTCCCCTTAAAGTCTAAAATTAAGGCTCAACTGAAAAAGGTCGATTAAGAACAGGCTTAGCACCGACACGATCAGGATGGCATAACCTACTCAATTTCTATGGTGCTGACGTTAAATGCACGACACGTTACACATATCTAGTATTGGGACTAGGACCACAAACAGCCTATTTTACTGGCTTATGACTGAACATTTGCTCCATAAGCCGAGCATAAAAAAGATTTCCAGGCGTGTCGATCTTTTGCGCAATTCTTCCAATTTGAATGGCCATGTTCGGCAATATTGTCTTCCACTTAATATTTCGATGTGCGATAATAGATGGTACATCTCATGGTGCATTCGACGGCGGCATTCACCGTCGACGCAGATCGGCCCATAGATCTTCCGGAGAATTTTTCTCTTTAACACTCCAAGGGCTGCCTCATCTGCTTGCGCATGTATCCACTCTCCCAATTTTTAAGGATGCAGTCCTGAATTTTAATACCTTCAGATTTGAATATGACCCTATTTTTTATTGCAGCACAACTAAAATTGAGAATCCTAATCGTTTGTTTTTATTTTCACTATTTACAGCTACCATGTCCATCCTGACCACAATCAATCCCGACGAATATCGTGCACCCATCTCGATATTTGCCAGCGGTAATCTTTGTTTGCCTTATCTCTCCTTGCCATACATGGATTTGTTAACCGATCCATCGGTATTAAGTTATGTTATCGGAACCTCAAATGTCCTATTTCAGCAACGCCATCACCTGGCCGATATATTAATTGATATTGAAAATGGCAACTTGGAAGCACGTGATCCCGAGCTGAGAAAACAATTGATCCTGAGCACAGAAGATTTACGTTTTATGGATTATATATTGCGTCATGTTCAAGTGCCTAAAGAGGATGCTGAAGGTGGCAGTGATCAATGGATTCGGCAGCAATTTCAGGGTTATTTGTTGGCCTTATTGCGTACCTCTGTGGTGGCCACCACCTCCGAGACAATTGTTAAAGATGTTGATCATTTTAATGCGAATTTTATGACAGCATTCCAAAAGACGCAATGCTATCAGGAATGGTTTGATGTTAGGCCAGATAATGGATTTTTTGAAGCTTTGCCAATGGGACATCCATTTTCGGGGGCCACTCTATCGGTTACAGATGTTAAATTGAAATTGGCACAGTAAGTATGATAATGGAGATTATATTACTGATATATTTTTCAACTTCTTTCATTGTTTGCAGAACAATGCAAAGCACTGAAAGCGGCCGCAAAATAAATCAGGCCGTTAACAATACCAGCCGGGCTGTGGGCGGTGCATTATCTCAGGCTAAGGGTGCCATTTCTGGTTGGTGGTCATCGATGACCACAACGGCTGCCACAACAGGTTCCAGCAATACCGAAAACCGTCTGACGGACCAATCCAAACAGGATATCTCAGTAACATTCCAAAATAGCGGCGACACCATTGAGGAGGGTATCAGTATACACACAGAGGAGAAAATTGTTTTCTCTACTAAAAACGGCGAGGTAGAAGGCATTGACGACAACAACAAGGAGTCGGCTGATGGTGACAATGGAGAGGGAAAACTTGTCGAAAAGGCTGAAGAACTTAAGGAGGGCAAACAAATCGAAGCAAATAAAGTAATGCAAAGTAGTGGCGGCAGTGGCATTGTAGAAATTGGCAAAGAAGCTGAATTGCTTGATAGGAATGATCAGAATTTAGTTGGCGATAGAAGTTCGTCTAATGGAAACAGTGTATTTATTGTTTAAAAAACAAAACAAACAAAAAGAAATAGTTTGTGATAAACTCACATCAAGACGTTAAATTCTCATAAAACGAAAAAAACCAAACATGAATTGTAATATGTTAACACTCATTTATTTCTTTCCTCTCCCTCTAATGGGAATCTACTGCATATTCGTTTTGGAAAATATTCCAAAATGAAAATGAAAAAAAGTTGTCCTTTTTGTCCAGATTTTATCTTGTGTTATTTATATGTATTTGGATAATATAACACAATTGTCTGAGCTTTATGTAACTGTGTGTCATTTGTCATGTTTTTTTTCGATTCATTAAAGTTGTTTTGCCGTCGTCATAATGCATTTGAATCATGGAGCAGTCTAAGAAAAGAAAGTCATATGGAATTTATATTTTCAGAATTTCTTCTGGTTTTTTTTTATTTGGCAATGTAATTTATTGTGTCCTTTAATTATATTACTTATATATACACACATTCATTCTATTATTATTATTATACATATTTTGTAGTATTTATTTATTATTAATGTATTGTATTTTTTTAAATATTACGTGTTCGAATAAATAATATATATTTATTAATAATAAAGGTGTACCACAAGCATACATCATTCCTTATACATACATATATAATTTTTGGAATTTTTATTTCAAAACAAATCTTCTATAAACACACACACACACACCAGAGATTTAGACCTTAGGTGTTTTATAAAAATAACGTTTGATTTCCTACAAGAAAACCCTAACGACTCCGGAAAAAATATTGTTTTAGAAATCCACGCCTATGAATGTTTTGAAACCCTATTCGGTTAGCTATGTCCACCTGTCTATCCAAATCACGATAGAGCTTGCAATATTTAACATAGAGCTATGCCATTTTACACATACTACTCCTAGGATGTTTGGTACGCCGACCTTTTGGTAAAGCTATTTTGTAACGGTACACCCCAATATTCGGAATTATGGGCATGCATTTTTAATCAAATTTGCTGTTATTTTAAATGTTGGGATCTAATTGGATGTTAAATGTAACTACCAAAAATTATAAATATCGCTCCACGTTTTCGTAGAGACCCCATATAACGGCACCTCTCGAATTTTGTTATTTTGGCGAAAATGGGATAAGGTTGAGATTTTTGGATACATTTAACCAAATTCGCTGTAATTTGGTATTCTAGGTTCTCATTGGGTAATACAAAAAAAAATGTTAACATTGGTCCACTTTTTAGGGAAACCCCCTTAACCAATATTTTGAAGATTTTTGCCTCGTTTTTTTCAACCGAATTGGCTCTTATTTGATTTTTTTTGGTTCTCATGGGGTGGTAAATCTTACTTACTTAGATGGCTTGTGACAGAACGTTTATTCCATAAGTTCCGAGCTTAAAAAAGATTTCCATGCGCGCAGTTAATCCAATTTAAAAGGCCATGTGCCAAAATGTTTTCTTCCACTTGATCTTTCCATCTAACTCGTGGCCTTACCCTTCTCCCTGGGCCATCAGCTGGCTCCCTTTTATATGCCTTATGGTCATGGTTCATTCGACGCCCATATTCACCGTCGACGCAGATCGCCCCGTAGATCTTTCGAAGAATTTTTCTTTCAAACACTGCAGGAGCCAGTAATGTCATTGACCATGTCATCAATATTGAATCAAATTTCTGGGTAGATCACACATAACGGTAGCCTCCCCCACAAAGAATCAGCAGTTTGAAAACTTGTACATTTCATAGAAAGCGACCAGGAATATCCCAATTTCATCGAAACTTTGCATATCGTAATATCGACGCCTCCGAACCATAGTATGCTAAGTCGACTTAGCATGTTTTAAAGTTCTTCACGTTTTTAGATACTACGGTCCTTAATTTAAATTCACTGAAATTTTGGTAATCATCGGCCAATCCAAACCAAAGTTATAAGCAAAAATGTACTTAGCATGGCATGTACGATTAAAGAAACTTCCATACTTTGAAAGCTTCTACTGAAAAACTCACTTTTCAGACTTAGCATACTATGGTTCGGAGGCGTCGATATGTTAACCTTACCTAGATTATGTCTGAAAATGGGACCCATCGGTCCTCTTTTTTGGTACCTCCCCCAAAAATGCTCAAAATTTGACTGAAAATTTATTTTATAATTTCATGCGGAATATCCGATTTGAACTAAACTAAGATTATAACCATGACTGTATAATATTGATAGATGGGATTTCTTCTAATACCTCCCCCACAAGGGGTCACTATTTTAAAAATTTGGTCATCTCATCTATTTCATCCCAAACTTGTAAGTTCGGTGTAAGTTCTTGCACTTTTTGGAATTTCAATGTCTTTACCCCGAGCTCATTTTGTTTGCCGAATGGAATATTGCGATATGTTCAGCTCACGAGCCATTTCTCGGCCACTGTGACGCGGGTTTCGATCAAGTCGCTTCTTTACTTTTCGAACCATTTCTGTTGATGTTACAGTTTTCTTCCGTCCACTTCATTGACGTCGGGCTACGCTACCAGTTAAACGATAACGAGCGATGGCACGAGAATTCACTCATGAATTCCATCACGAATAACTTTTTTCTGGAAAATTTTCACCAAAATGCTTTGGTACGCTTGTAAACGAGAATGAGCTGTCACTGGAATAATTTTAACAGCTGTCGGACGAGTGGCTTAGAAATGACAGCAGTCTGAAGTTGGTTGCAGTTTTTTCATCTCACCCTGTATAATTGTACCATGATCGCCAGACAAACATTTCCCATTGTGCGGTACTCTTTGACAGTGTTGGCACTTGAAATTTTTTCCCCATAGCCCATTTTCGTGTTGAGCTTTTTGTACATTAAGGTGGGTACAATTTTTCTTTCATTGGTTTTACCTCAAATTAAATTTTTTTTGCTATTTTATTATTTATTTTATTTGACAAATTAATTTTTTAGATAAAATGTTATTTTTATTTGTTTTCAAAATACTCTTAAATTCCGTCTATTACTCTTTGTACCAAAATATATTTCCTTCTCTTACTCTCGCTCTCTATTCGCACCATTGACATAAAAGCTCTGAACGCGTGCCAACAAAAATCATAACAACTGTGAGGAATCCAGAAGTTATTTCCTTTTTTGTTTTGTTCCCAACAACCCCCAAACACAAATACCGACTCTCTCTCTCACACACACTTTTGCTCTCACATTATCCCTGAGCAAATATAGAAGTGTCTGCGTCGTCATGAAAGAGAGAGAGAGAAAGACTATTCGTTGGGATTGTGAAGAAAACTTAACGTAGAACAGCCTGTTTGCAGGCTCCCCGAGTTCAGTTTGAAATTTGTCAATGAAGTCTGTGGTAAGCTTCAAGTTATTCGCGCTGTTACCGCGACTAAAGTTGTCTGGAAAAGATGTAAGTTATGGTGAAATTTTTCCAAAAAAACAAAGAAATGAAATTTTATTGGTTTTTAATTGTTTGTGTTGTTATTGTGCCGAGTAAAACTAAATTCTAGAATCACTTAAAAGAAATTCTTAGCTTGAAGCTAAAAAAATAAGGCTTGCTTATGTTTTGTTAGTGCCATGGAAATGTTGTTAAAAGTTGAAAGAAAAAAATGAAAAAAATATATGTAGAAGAATTACACAAGTGCTTTATACTAAATATGTATGTATGTGTGTGCTATGTGTTCATATTTGCATACAAGCTCAAAAAATAAGAAAATGTTGTATCTGTGCAATGAAAGATAAAAACCAACAACAACAGGAGAAGAATAAAAAAAACATGAAAAAGAATAATAAAACCAACAACGATTCGAGAAAAAACTACAGCGACAGCTCCAGACGCACAATGTTGCGATGGCCAAACCTACCTACCTCCATCCAACCAACCAACCTGGCTGGGCCTTATGTTGCATAATTTCAAAAAAAAAAAAAAAATGTCTGTGGCAAAAATAATTCAGAAATAATTTTTTGGTATTTCTGTGTGCTATGTTGTGGTTAACAATTAACCACAAATTTATTTTACAAAATTTCCAAGTAAGTTTTCAAAAAAGAAAAAAAAATTGTGGTTAAAAATTATTCAATTGTTGAAAGAAGAAGTGGAAATGGTAAAAAATACCAGACATAAAGGGCGTTCATGTTTTGTTGGTAATCAAGCAGCAGCAGAGGAGCACAACGACCGAAGGATGGAACCCATCCTCCAGGCAGGGAGAACAAGTCTTTGTCACACAAAACGCACCATCAATTCTCATACGCACCAAAATTCCGCTTAGTATATACCTTAACATTGTATAAAGAGGTAGGTCTTCTTTGTGCGTGCTTGTGTGTGCCTTATAAGATTGGAGTCCATGCTTGCCACATGTATCATCATCGTCATCATCATCAGACTCCCCATTACCATCACCTCGGAGGGGTTTCATTCAAAGTGTGGTGTTTAGTTAGTGTCTTCGTTTTTTGGGGTAAAATCAATATTAAAACAATTTCAAAATACTTCGTAATTTTTATTGTAGCAACACTTTCATTCGTTATCCCTTAACGACTTGTCAAATTTTCAAGAGAGAGAGAGACAAAGAAACTACTATTGCAAGAGAATATAAACTGTGCTAATAAAAAAGAGCACCGCGCAACTTTCAAGAATAAACAGAGATCTAAAATTTAACGAAGAGAGCTAAAGCTGTGAAGATTATGCAGAGATGGGAAATACGGATTTTGTGACTATTTAAATTAAAAAAAAAATCACATGGCGTCCAACATGAGTTACATGAGTTCGTTCCCAAAGAATGACGGTTCTAAAAAATATCAGAAACAAAAATTCTAAGAATGACCATTCGAATACATAAATAACATGGCGCCCAACATATGGCCCAAACTCACGATGCCTAAACCGGTGGAAAAATAAAAAAATCAAAAAATATTTTCCATGTTAAATTACAATTTTTCATAACGTGAAACAACTCACAATAATGATTATGACAATAAACTCGAGAAACAGAAACAGCTGGACTTCTTAAATTACCTTATTAATAGACCTAGTAGTAAACAGGGTTGGTGTTT